TATGGACCAGTTCTTTAAGGGTGAGGGAAAAAAAACTTCCCTCCTCCAGGCACAAACACTACGCCCAAAGTAACTTTACATAAGGCATTAGAGATGGTCAGATCTTGTGGATCAAGTCTGTATGAGTGGTAAAAGTATGAGCAACAGCTTTTCTTCAAGGGGGAAGAATGAAAGGCTTGTGCCCAGAGAACTTGCATAGTTAATTCAAGGAAAGTTGACCAAGTAGTGAAGCTATGTACAGACATAAGGTTATATATTTTAGCATTACATTCCCCTTTAACAATAAGAAGGACGATTCATCGAACTTCAGCATTGTCATTGACAAAAGTAGCATTGATATGAGTAGCATTGTCATTTTCAATAGGTGATTGAGCATGAGGCAAAACAGTTAACCTTCTTGCTCATCTTGAGTGAGTTGAGGGTATGACTCACACATACTCCTGGATTTCATTCATAGGTTATGAATTTATATTCATGTTATGAATGGTCTCTACATTTTGCTGCTCTGTGCTGCAGTGAGCCAAGTCACAAGCTTGGATCTTTTCAATACCTTTTTCTGGGAAATCCAGCTCATGAACAGTTCTTGATCTACTTGTAATGGTGGCAGAAATTACGAGGTACTTGAGCAAGAACCCTATAACAGACATGAAGAAGGCGTATAACAACTTTTTAAAAATACTAATACCCTGTAAACTGTGAGAATGAAGACCTTGGGTCCACTGTAGGAGAGGAATTAGTTCGAGACCAACTTAAAAATCTGAACGTGCACAAGTCCATGGGTCCTGATGAAATCCATCTGGGGGTCCTGAAGGAGCTGGCAAATGAAGTTGCTATGCCACTGGCCATCATATTTGAAAAATTATGGCAGTCAGGTGAAGTTCCTGACAACTGGAAAAAGGGAAATATAACCCCCATTATCAAGAAGGGGAAAATGGATGATCCAGGCAATTACAGACCAGCCAGTCTCACCTCTCTGCCTGGCAAAATCTTGGAGCAGATTCTCCTGGAAGGCATGCTAAGGCACATGAAAAACAACAAGGTACTTGGTGACAGCCAGCATGGCTTCACCAAGGGGAAATCCTGCTTGACCAATTTGGTGGCCTTCTATGATGGGGCTACAGAACTGATGGACAGTGGTAAAGCAATTGATGTCATCTACCTGGATTTGTGTAAAGTGTTCGACACTGTCCCACACGACATCCTTGTCTCTAAAATGGAGAGACATCAATTTGATGAATGGACCACTGGGTGGATAAAGAACTGGCTGGATGGCTGCACACAAAGAGTTGTGGTCAATGGCTCAATGTCCGGCTGGAGACCAGTAACGAGTGGTGTCCCTCAGGGATCGGTGTTGGGACCGGTCTTGCTCAACATCTTCGTCGCTGACATGGACAGTGGGATTGAGTGCGCAAGTTTGCTGATGACACCAAGCTGTGTGGTTGGGTTGATATGCTGGAGGGAAGGAATGCCATCCAGAGGGACCTTGACACGCTTGTGAGGTGGGCTGATGTCAACCTCATGAAGTTTAACCATGCCAAGTGCAAGGTCCTACACCTGGGTTGGAGCAATCCCAGACACAGCTACAGGCTGGGCAGAGAAGAGATTCAGAGCAGCCATGCGGAGAAGGACTTGGGGGTGCTGGTCGATGAGAAAATGAACATGAGCAGGCTTCAGTGTGCATTTGCAGCCCAGAAAGCCAACCATATCCTGGGCTGCATCGAAAGAAGCCTGACCAGCAAGTTGAAGGAGGTGATCCTGCCCCTTTATTCTGCTCTTGTGAGACCTCACTTGGAGTACTGTGTACAGTTCTGGTGTCCTCAACATAAAAAGGACGTGGATCTGTTGGAACAAGTCCAGAGGAGGGCCATGAGAATGATCAGGGGACTGGAGCACCTCCTGTATGAAGATCAGCTGAGAAAGTTGGGGCTGTTCATCCTGGAGAACAGAAGGCTGTGTGGAGATCTCCTAGCAGCCTTCCAGTATCTGAAGGGGGCATATAGGGATGCTGGGGATGGACTCGTCCATTAGGGACTGTAGTGATAGGACAAAGGGGTAATGGGTTAAAACTTAAACGGGGGAAGTTTAGATTGGATATAAGGAGGAAATTCTTTCCTGTTAGGGTGGTGAGGCACTGGAACACTTTGCCCAGGGAGGTTGTGAATGCTCCATCCCTGGCAGTGTTCAAGGCCAGGTTGGACGAGGCCTTGGGTAATATGGTTTAGAGCGAGGTGTCCCTGCCCATGGCAGGTGGGTTGGAACTTGATGATCTTAAGGTCCTTTCCAACCCTAATTATTCTATGATACTATGATTCTATATATATGTTCTGTTCAGTTCTATGAAGTGCAAACTTCTATAACAAAATGCAGAGTGCCAAATTCCTTACAAATAGAATTCCTTACTGTATCACTGACCTCTCCCCATCCTCTTGATACAATCCTACAGCTTTCCTACAACTTCCACACATACAACTTTTATCCTCTTTGCCGTAGAGATGGCAGGTGTTAGATTCACTTGGGAGACTGCACACGTGCTCCCAGATGTTGTCTCTAAATCCATAGCTCAGTCAAGAAAAGAAAAATGCAGCAAGTCCTTCCCAAGCCTGTTAGGTCACAAAAAACATCTCTTAAATTGCAGATACTCTAGGAGGTGTCCAGAGTGTATGATCCACTGAAAGAGTAAGTAAGTTAATTTCCACAACAACCTCCCACCTCTCTCCACTCTTCCCCATTCTTTTGGAAGTCAACTGCAATCCAGGCTCTTACAACACACACTAAGGCTGCAGAAGGGCTACGTGATGGTAGAAATGTTAAATGAAGTCTTTTTCTTCTTATCAAAAGAAAAAAGGCTGATCCAATTTAGGAAGAGGTAACATGAGACCAGAGCAAGGCAAGCACACCACTGGGCCAGAGCACGGACCCAGAGCATTTTGTACCTTAACTACCTCCACTCAAATAAAACAGAAGCAGCAACACTTCATTCCAGTAGTGCCCATGTGGTGAAGAGGTACTCAGTCTACCAAAATCAAACTGACATGTCAAGGATTTTACTGACAGCAACAGACTCTTTCACAATAAGAAACCCTACGAATGTATCCCTTTAAATACTTCCAGTCTACTAATTCTACTCATATACTTGGTCTTTATGCACAACAGAACCAGCAATTAATCCACAACCTCTTTAAAATTAACAGCATCTTAAACTACAGAGAATCACCATCTTCCTGCTAAATTTCAGGCTCTAAAAGGTAGCAAAGACTTGAAACAGGCAATGAAGAGTTCATACTATCCTCTATAAAACTGAATTGTAAGGCTTTTCTGTAGTCATATACCGGAACAAGTTAGCATAGTATTTAAATCACTGGGCAAATTTACTATTAAAAGATTACTATGCAAATACCAGGGAAGCACTGGTCAGCTCAACTGAAATGCACTAAAAAAATGAATCTGATTTTCTTATACAGCATCAGACAAACCCTAATGGGAGTCATACAAGTATTTTCCAGAAAAGAACACAGCACTATGACACGGGTGATGAAAAATCCCACGTTTAAGAATCTAACCCTCACTAAGTTTACCCGAGAATCTAAATGGAAGGGAAGAGTCAAAGATGTAGTGTCCAGAAAGATTAAAAACCAAAACAACAAACAAAAAACAAAACAACAAAAAGCTCCCACTATATACTAAAAAGCCATTAACAGAACCTTTCCCCTCCTTCGTATTCAAGCAGTCCTAGCTTTACTGAAAGTTATTCACATTAGAGAGGGGAAAAAGGGGAAAAGTCAAATTACTCAACAAATGACATGCCTTCAGAAGAGATTTCAGTGAGTATACCATTTGGACAGAACTGACGTTGTTATGTTTGGCATGATGTGCTGTGGTATGGAATACCCCTTTGGCTAGTTTGGGTCAGGTTGTCCTGCCCCTGCTCCCTCCCAGCTTCCCATGCCCCTCCTCACTGGCAGAGCATGAGACTGAAAACTGGAGCAAATGTTACTTAACAAGAACTAAAAACATCAGTGTTATCAGCATTGTTCTCAGGCTAAAGTTGAAAACACAGCACTGCAGCAGCTACTAAGGAGGAGAAAAATAACTGTTGCAGCTGAATCCAGGACAAGAACAAATGCACAAATAATTTAAATTAGTGCACTAAAATTTTCACATGAATTAAATCAATTAAGCCACAGACTACAATCCCAGAATTTAATGGAGAATAGGTTAAAAACGTAGTAAGATTAACTTTTATTTTAAAAAGGGAAAAAGATTGGGTAGCAATGTGGCTCTGTGAACTTCTGTGCTCACTGCTCTGAAATCTTGATACCAAAGCTTGTGCGTTTCATTAAATGCCAATGTACAAGACAGCTGCTGTAGACTGAGAAACAAAAAAAAAAACAACAAAACCAACAACAACAACAAAAAAAAAAAAAAGGGGTGTGTGCACTCAGGTCTGTTTCTATTCAGGCACTAGAACTAAGTAATGAATCAAAGGCTGCAGCAGGCAATAAACTCCTTTGGAAAAAGTTTTATGTTGCTCATAGTTGTAAAAATCATAATCGGTTTTAAGATAAACATAAACTTTCACTTCCTATCTTCCAACCTCTGAAAGACGACCATATACAAATTTCATAAACAGCAAACGAGTCAGTCTTCTGGGTAGATTGTGGTGGTGGAAAAGGTTCTTGGACAGTACAAGGCACCTGACTGCAGTTTTAACTTTTAAATTAAAATGCAAGTCCATTCAAGCACCTTATGCCAACATCTCTTCACCCATTTATTCAGCCCATTCAAATTTCATGTACTCATATTCCCATACATTTGTTTGCACCCCACACAGAAGACAGTGAAATGTGTGGAGTCAATGAAAGCACTACAGTTCAATTTGTGTGCTCTCCAGCTGTCCATTTAACTCCACTACTTATTCACAGGCAAGTGTAAGCCTAATTATTTATATACGGGTTTTCCTCTTTGTAGTTCAATGAAAGACAAAGGACAACGAAGTACAATTTTTCTTTTTTTTTTTTTTTTTTTTTTTAATAAAGATAAAATTACAAAAAAGGTAAAATCAGCTCAGGAAAGGCAAATTACTTTAATAGATCAGTTTAGACATTTAACATAATAACTCACATCCATTTTTAAATACTATTACATAAAGCATGGTGAAGAAAAGAATTTTCTGCCTCATAATTAGAAAACTCACAATACAACTTGCCAAAAACCAGAACAAAGCCGTTTGAAAATAAATACGGTCCATGCCAAATAGTACAAAATGAAATCAGCAGTCTCTCTCCATACGAAAACTTTTCTTCTTTTAGGTATTCTCCAACTCTAGTATTATGTTCTGCAACTGATGAGAGGCTATCTTTTGTTCAAGGATTGCTGAGCTGTTCAGATTTTGCTCTGTGAAAACGCAAAAATAACCTATTAAGTTGTTTCATTTTTCAATTAACTGCTTTAGAAATGCTATTTTAATTACTACTGTCATGAGTCTAAAATATTTAGTATTATGAGGAACTGAAAGTGATCTCTTCAGAATTTAGGATATTATAAAGTACTGATTTAAACAAACATGCTTCAAAAAGGTGACATTCATTATTAATTAGTGTTTACCCTTTGGCATCTGTTTTTTCACCACTGCTGTCCTTGGATTTATCCTCCTCCTTAACATCTGAAAAATAACAAGATTTTAAATATTTCAAAAGACGGAAGAAAACCTTAAAATACTTTGGAAGGAAAAAAAGTGTGACTTTTTTTTTTTTAATCTACTCCTAGCCAGGGTTAACTACCTTTTAAAAGAAGTCACTGGTTACATATGAGCATCGAGCATGAACTGCATCCTTCCAAAGGAGTGACGGGGGCACAATGCCAAATGATTCAAAATACCTTGAGGCAAGGTCTCTCTTGACCAGCCATAATGAGAGTATGCAGTAACAAAACCTGGATTTCCACCACTGTGGTAGTCTTGTAGCCCTAAAGAAAGGGCTGTTCTTGGAAAAGTCAAGAGTCCTTCAAATTACACTATCTCCTATCCCACTTCTGTTTCAGAGAAAGTCAGCTGGGACCACCCCACAAAAGCAAACAGGAACAAACCCTTTGTCTAATATTTTTAAAGCAAGAACTTTAATCCACATTTTCATTAAACTATACAAAGCCCTGGCTGTAAGATTTCGAATCTGTGAGGAAGCAATAACTCTTGGCAGAAAATACTACTCTGGTCTGAATAGCTGCATGTTGAAACTGACTTATTTAAAATAGATGCTTTAAATATGATGTAAAAAATAAATCATCTCAACAGCTAATTAACTTTTGAAAAAGTGCATCTTTCTCCTGGAAGAACTGACATCTGCAGTTCTAAAACGCAGGATGAAATCACACCAGAGTCCTACCTGATTTTTTGTCCTCCGTCTCTTTTTTGTCTTCCTCTATCCTGGCTTTCTTTGCTCCTTTCTTATGATCTGCAACATTTCGTCGTCCACCTTCCCCTTCATCTTCAGAATCTGAAAATTCTTCATCACAGGCTATGCGCTTATCAGATGCTCGAACTAGGATTCAGAGTTAATTTAAGTGAGTATAAAACCCAATTACAACAGGTCTAACAAAAAAGAACTATCAAATATCATTTAATGCTGGTGAACCAAATTATGGATGCAAATACTACCTTTCAAGATACTCTGGGACTGTCACAATGCCTTATGAATACAGCTTTACAGAGACGCAGGGGTGGATTGGGAGTGTTTTAACATTTAACAAATTAATTTCAAATACTGAAAATTATAGCACAAAACATTGTTTAAACAGTTGATAAAATGGACAGTGTGCCAATAAGAACTTAAGATGGTTCCAATCACCCTCAAAAAAAGGTTAAATGTAGCAAAAAACTCTAGCTGAAAAATAACTCATTATCCATATAAAGGCTGATGGTAATGAAATGAAGGGTATTGTCACAAGTATGGAAAACCTCTCCACAAAAAAGTGAATTTTTTTTTGTTTTGTTCCTTTTCTTAAGCACTTCCCATTATGAAGAAACATTCCTATTTTCTGTGAATAGCAGAAGACAGAGGCAAAATTGTGTATTCCCTTAGTTAAATTCATCTGAGACTTCTGGAGTATCTGTTTTAGATTTGCAATAGCCAGTGTTTCGTAAGAATTTCAAACCCCCGTGTTCTTTCAACACTTCTTTAGACCCCTTTAACAGGTTTACATGTGTGCACAGATGACACCTTAAGACCAGCAAAACTGACACACCAGTGGCAAATTTTTTTACACAGAAAAATTGCCAGTCTTTCAATACTACACTACTAGGACTAAGATTTAGACCAATTAATATAAAAAGACACTACTTGGTCATGTTCTATCATGAAAATGTATTTCTTACTAGAAATGCGTTTGTCTGGATCTTCTCCATCCTCATCACCACTGTCTTCGTGAACAGCATCTTCAGGAATGGCCTGCATCTGTACACCAGGTGCATGAGGTAGCATACGCAAGTTTTCAAATAAGCGCTGCCTACAAGTAACAAGCAAGGGAAGTTATTACTACACAAAGTAGCTTCTCCTTGGATTTTGTATTAGATTCTGAAAACTCTGCATTCAAAGTTCACCTACTTCGCTTTACAGTTACTCTTTCATTGTTCAATTAAAAAAAGGCATGCCAATTTCAGAAAGTTTCCATGCCTAAGATATCATTAGTATCCACAGTGTACATGAGTATCAATTTCTTTAATCTTTTTAAACACTTATTTCAATCAACTTCCATCTTCAGTTCCACCCAAGGTCAGCATAAGTCCTGGACACCTGGGCTGAATCAAGTGACAGTATTACTCTGTAAGTAGGAAGCTGGATAATAAGCTACCCTCTAGTTTCTCAGAAAGTCAGACTCTTAAAGCATAAAGACTTCTCAACTACATGTAGCAGTGATATCAGGGTCAAAAGCAATCCATCCGTGTAAAATTTCCTATTGTCTGTTTCAGGGGAAACAGAGAGGCATACTCTCTGTCCAAGGAACCTTAAGCAATGGACTCCACACTCCAAAGCACGATGTGCAGGAACAGGAAGGATATTAGGCTCCTCCTGGGACTCAAGACTATCATTATGAAGAAGTCCAAGCACAGAAAAAGGTTTGGAAAGTATCAAATATCAGCATTTATAACAACTACCTTAGTAACCTTCTGCACAACTTGAAGAGCCAAAGTGTAACTGGTGTTTTTCTGGAACCCTTATAGTCTTTGCCTCTGTTTAAATCACATGACCTGGCAAAGGAGTTTTGCCAGTCCAGGAAGTCCCTAATGCTAGGTCTCTAAGAAAGCATACAGCTAACTGAAGGAGGATTCTCTGAAATGATGGGTTATTGCTCTTCTTGTGGGTGCCAATATGAGGATGTGAGATCATACCTCTGTCAATAGCAAACACAAAATCTGTGCCCAGGGATGTGTTAAAAACCAAGTTTTGCACCCTACTCGCGCCACAAAAGCTCAACACCACACAATTATGTAGCAAGCAGCCTGGCAGATTACTAGCTGGAGCACTTACACTACCACAGAGAAATTTTGCAGAATTACATCAATGAATAGATGGGTGTATCCCCCCTTCCCTTGCACATTATTAAAAACTAACCCCCTTCATTTGACTGTGATTTATATATTTGCATTTTGAACACCAACATATAGAATTGTAGAAGAGTTAGGGTTGGAAAGGACCTTAAGATCATCTAGCTCCAGCCCCCCTGCCACGGGCAGGGACACCTCACACTAAAGCATGTCACCCAAGGCTCTGTCCAACCTAGCCCTGAACACTGCCAGGGACAGAGCATTAACAACTTTCTTAGACAACACATTCACAGTAAATAACTTCTTCCTTATATCCAATCTAAACTTCCCCTGTTTAAGTTTTAACCCATTACCCCTTGTCCTATCACTACAGTCCCTAATGAAGAGTCCATCCCCAGCATCCCTATATGCCCCCTTCAGATACTGGAAGGCTGCTAGGAGATCTCCACGCAGCCTTCTGTTCTCCAGGGTGAACAGCCCCAACTTTCTCAGCCTATCTTCATGCGGGAGGTGCTCCAGCCCCTTGATCATCCTCGTGGCCCTCCTCTGGACTTGTTCCAACAGTTCCATGCGCTTTTCATGTTGAGGACACCAGAACTGCACACAATACTCCAGGTGAGGTCTCACAAGAGCAGAGTAGAGGGGCAGGATCACCTCCTTTGACCTGTTGGTCATGCGCCTCTTGATGTAGCCCAGGATACGGTTGGCTTTCTGGGCTGCAAGCGCACACTGAAGCCAGCTCATGTTCATTTTCTCATCAACCAGCACCCCCAAGTCCTTCTTCACAGGGCTGCTCTGAATCTCTTCTGTGCCCAACATGTAGCTGTGCCTGGGATTGCTCTGACCCAGGTGTAGGACCTTGCACTTGGCATGGTTAAACTCCATAAGGTTGCCATCAGCTTGGCAATGAGCACTTCTCAAACCATGTGGATTTGTCAAAGTCACTCAATTGCCTGCACACATACTGCTATCTTTCCATAGTTTTGGATGTCCAAGCTCATATGTGACTTTTTATTTTTACAGCTGACAAAGAATGACAATCTCAGTTTTTTTTGACACGGAGCCGAAAATTAGAAATCCTAATCATCTCGGCATACCAGTGTCCTTCCTGGTGGGATAAACTTTCTACAAAGTTATAAGGGGAAGCCAAGTAAAACAGCCATGTCTCTAGAGGGTGGAAAAAGTAAAAATGCAGGCTGGATCTTAAATTTTCATATTTATAGGCACAGGACTTCATAAGCATATATACTGTTGTAGGAAGAGACTTCTAAAAAGTTCCTCTTACAGAAGTGAAAAAATATATGTAGAATCTATTCAGCATTTATTTTTAGACTGTAACAGAGAAAAGCACAGTTTTAAAAAACACCCTAACAAACCTCTAGACAAATATGATTTATATGACCTACTTGACAAATAAGATAATCACTACTTACTTGATCTTCTCCATATATTCTGGTGTATTCTGATTAGTCATATTCGAAGGACTAATATGAAGCTTGAAATCTGGTCCAAAATACTCAAAGTAGTCATTGTATGGCAATTCTATAAACCAAGACACAAAAGACATCTTTGTGACCCAAAAGATTTCAAACATTTTAAATGCAACAATTGTTTTAACAGGATTTTAGTTCTAGAACTATCAAACCTGAAGCATTCAGGTAAGCAATAATTAAGTACTGCCTAAACTGTTCAGTGTTTTTCCTCTCAGTTATTCAGTAAATGAACTCAAATTTGTTAGCAAAATACAAAGAACAAGAGCACGTTCTACTGCAATCATGTAGAACATACACTGGAACAAGAAACATAGATTTGAGAAAATAATTAAAAATGCTACTTCTGCAGGAAAGAGAAGATCAACGGATGATTTCTTACCGCTGTTTTCAAAATCAATCCAGTGCAAAAGGTTTAAGTGAGCCATTCAAAATATTCCTTAGGTAAAATATGTAATACTCAATACTAAGCTGACAATTACAGCTAGCTCAACATTCACAGTAACCAAGCACTGTACAGTGATTCAGTGATGCCCATGTCTGTTCATTTCCCCCCTTCTCTTCCCTCTTCGCTTTTTATACTCACACACATAACTGTCCCCTGACTGGAACATCTAATCACTCAAGATTCTCTTCAAAAACTTTGACTGACAAAGAATATAAATTGACATGCACAATGCAAAATATAAATCTCGAAAGGTACTGTCCAAATATTCTTTTCTCACTGACAGCAGCATTCCACTTAAGTTGGATGGAAACATTATGAATCCAGCAAGAGATAAATGAACAGCAAAAGCTTATCAGGAAAAGCTTCAGTCCAACATGAAAAATACTGGTGACTGATGCGCAACAAACCAGTCCGCATAATTTTGCAAAAAGACATTCCAAAAAACATGTCCAGAAACATATTTGGCTAGAAGTAAAGGGAGTGCAGGACCTTTGGGGATCTTCCTTAGAGAAACTACTTCATTATTTAACTATGCAAAAGGAGTCCACTATTGCTTTCTTGGTTTTTAAATTGTTTTAAGATAGCTTGTATAGGCAAAATTGAGCCAAATGAACAAACAAAGTCAATATACTTTCACATTTACTTTTAAGTTACGGATACAATGAAGAAACGGTTGTTTTACACAGCAAAACAGACACCTGCATACTCATTAATTTCTTCTGAATAGTATATCTGTGGAGCCCAACGTACTCAGATGCACCCGTTACAATCAAAATGCAGGATATATTCTATCATACTGATGACATTCATATTAAAAATAGCTACAAGTAAGGTTCTGTAAGTTTTAGATGTTTTGAATTTTCAAAAAATGATGCAATCATTTAAAACTTTTGCTAAGGCATAAAAGAAGACCCAATTCTTACGTTTACTTAGTGCATAAGCTACTGAAATTTTATTGTCTAAATCCTAACAATAACTTCCTACATTGTTTATTCAAACAGATGCTTAGAAATATTTGCTATCTGTTCACTTAAACCCTCTCATGATTATTCTTTTAAGAAAATATTAAGTTGTGTATTAATATTTACCATTAGGAATTTCACAGTCTAAGGCAACAGCAGTTTCATATGTCCAGCATCGAGCAACATTACGAATTGTATATCCTCCTCCTCCCAACATCAGCAATGGCAAGTTAAAAGTCTTTACAACTTCCACACATTTAGCATGACCTGTCAAACACAAAAAGAGTTGACAATATATGCAAAATATCTATTAAAGAGAAAAATATATAATTAACTATTTAATAAGACATATGCAGTTGCACTTAACATGTAAGAACTGAATTGATTCAAGTAAAACAGAACTGTCTCCCCCTAGAACTAAGTAGAACCTCACAAGAAGTCAAGACCTACAGATAAGAAATGTACAAAATACACTGAACATTAATTATCCACCCCAATCTTCAGAGACTTTCCATGATGATCTATCGCTGCTTTTCTGAAATGCTCTTAGGAAGTTTAGCATTTTGTCATTTCGTAAGTGAAGTCAACACACAGTTACAAATCTAGGGACAATTTCTCAGGTCAAATGCAACAGGGAAAGAAGGGAAAACAGTAAATCAGTTACTTGGTCCTTTCTACTTCTAAATTTGAACCTGTATTAGAGGTTGCTAAGTCTTGCTTACAGAGTGAACTGGTGCCAAGACAGTACACACTCCAGGGAGATACAGCATACTGAAAGGCATCTGTAGGAGGCAGCAGCTCTCTTGGTTTCCAAGATATGTAAGATGGAAAAAAATCTGAGCTGTATGAGCAACTGAAGTAGCTTTGCCACCTGGTGCAAATCAAGAAAAGAACCCTGAAACACTGCAGACCCAACAGATACTATACTGCATTTTGTTGCCTATAAAACTCTTAATTGCCTCGTTAAAAAAACACAAACCCAAGAAAACCCAGAAAATAAATGATTCAAATAGGCTGGATTCAAGGCTTAGCAGAAGTTCAACATACAAGTAATGTATTATTAATTACAATCAATAATAAGAGTAATATTTATGTTGTTTGCTAAATTGGCATCTCAGCCCAATTTTCAGAATAACTTTTTTTTTTTATATAAAAGTGTAAGGAACACTGAAGAAAATTAATCCTGTAGAAGTTTATAAAAACGTTAACGTAAGGCTCAGTGTAACAATAAATACCAATACAAACTTAACAATAAGTGTTTTCATTTCAGTAATACCTATTTTACACCCAACAGGTGTTTGATATTTAGTATCAGTAGTCCTACTAAGTGAACCACTAGTTTTTCTATTCGCCAATCATAATAAATGTTGCAGTAGGATAACTCTTCTTCTCCTGTCATTTCAGAACATTGCTTTAAAGCTACAGAAAGCCTGTGCATAGAAGAAAGGGAATCACTTGAGTGGCTAGGAGGAACACAGAAAATCAAGCTTAACTTTTTTAGATGGACAGAAACAAAGAGGCAACTTCTGGGTTTCTTTTGGCCACCCCTATATAGCAAAGAAAGAGGTGATTAATCATAGTAATGAACAAAATCTTTGTGACTCCAGTCCTCATCATGCAAGTGTCTTGAAAAATAGTATCAAGGGTAGAGGTTTCTATTAAATAAAAGTTACAGACAACACACACACTTTTTTGCTTACCTTTAACAGTAAGATTAAAACATCCCAGCCTGTCACCAGACAGTGAATCTGCTCCACACTGTAATACCACAGCACTGGGCTGGTACATCTCCATTACTTTGGATATAATCTATAATCAGGATAAAACACCAATTAATTCATTATTTCATGTTATGGGAATATACTCAAAATACTGAACAAGCATCCGTCTAGAGAGCTTAAAAAAAAGAAAAAAGTACTCACTGGTTTGAATATCTGTCCATATGATTCATCATCTATACCATCTCTCATTGGAAAGTTGACAGCATAGTATTTGCCTTTTCCAGCACCAATGTCCTATATAAGCAAAGATGACAAATGCTTTATTACAAACACAGAAGCACATGATGGTATAATGGGTAAACACCTACACAGGTCCACTGAGCAATTTTGTACCATTATTGATGTCTGCTAGATAAAAAAAGGTGAAATACCTTACTTGATTCCTATTCTCTCATAGAATTATTTTGTAGTGTAGGAGTTGTACACCAAGACCAAGTTTGCAGTCAGTATACTTGATTGTTTTAATTCAAAGATTTAACACAAAAAAGACAAAATGTAACTCATCAGTTTCAGACAGTAAAAACAGTTAAGCAGAAACAGCTTAAAACCTGAAGATCCCTGCCTGCCACTCATTCCCATTTCTTCCCTGTAGCTCATCACTAAGACAGAAACTGATCCAGTATACGGAGCAGGTCTCTGCCACTATAAGGATGCGGTGGGCAAGATACTAAGATTCAATCTGTTCAGTTTGGCTGTAAACTACCACCAAACACGAGCTCTACAAAAAGAGCACACTTCAGGCCCAACCTCCTTGAAAAACTACAAGGCACAAATACTAAACTTATATTCAACTTCTCAACACCAGCTATTGAAACAGTCATGGACTTTTCCCTCTTCCTGAACAAAGCCTCCTTGGTAAAGGCAACAGTAACATTTCACTGCCAGTAACTATCTTTCACTGCGGGGGGTGGGAGGGTGGGGGGGGGGGGTGCATGTGTGCAGGGAGACACAGACAACACGGGATGGGGATGGGAGAAAGACAGACATGAGGACAGAGACAAATGGCCTAATGCGGCATAAACACAATGCTAGCAGTTATTTTTTCTTCTTCTAGCACATTACTATTTCATAGCATTGCAAGATTAGTGACACTGAAGACCGCTGCTGAACTAAAAATTCTGGCTGATCTGGAGTATAACAGTTACCCAGAATCTCCCAAAAAGAATTACCTAGGCTTCAAATGTTGATTCTTCTGAGGTGACAGTGCCTTGCTTTCCAGATTAAAATAGCAACAAAAAAAAAACCCAACCCACACAACACAAAAAAAAAACCAACCAAAAAAAAAGAAGTAATTAAATTGATTTTATCCTAGAACGTAAAATAGCCAAATTTTCACACAATTTCCCACTAACCTAGGTACATGAGCCTATGAACATGAGCTGGCAGTGTGCGCTTGCAGACCAGAAAGCCAACCGTATCCTGGGCTGCATCAAAAGGAGTGTGACCAGCAGATCGAAGGAGGTGATCCTGTCCCTTTACTCTGCTCTTGTGAGACCTCACCTGGAGTACTGTGTGCAGTTCTGGTGTCCTCAGCATAAAAAGGACATGGAACTATTGGAATAAGTCCAGAGGAGGGCCACGAGGATGATCAGGGGGCTGGAGCACCTCCCATATGAAGATAGGCTGAAAAAGTTGGGGCTGTTCAGCCTGGAGAAGAGAAGGCTGCATGGAGATCTCCTAGCAGCCTTCCAGTATCTGAAGGGGGCATATAGGGATGCTGGGGAGGGACTGTTCATTAGGGACTGTAGTGACAGAACAAGGGGTAAAGGGTTCAAACTTAAACAGGGAAGTTTAGATTGGAGATAAGGAGGAAATTCTTTCCTGTTAGGGTTGTGAGGCACTGCAACACATTGCCCAGGGAGGTTGTGAATGCTCCATCCCTGGCAGTGTTCAAAGGCCAGGCTGGATGAGGCCTTGGGTGATATGGTTTAGTATGAGGTGTCCCTCCCCATGGCAGAGGGGTTGGAGCCAGATGATCTTAAGGTCCTTTCCAACCCTAACTATGATTCTATGAGTATCTTCCAGCCTGAGTTACCCTAGGGACCTTTTCTCTAACTGATACTTGCACTGGTGATAAAGACTAAAGAAACAATATAGCATTATGATAGCTGCCCATTCATCAACAGATCAAATTTCCACACAGAACCTGGGCCTCTATGTAGTACTACAGTCTCAACTGACCTATCTACTTAGAAGGTTAATGCTACTATCTAGGATACTTAGAAAATCAAATAACTTACTAAGGACATTGGAAGTTCAGATGGGCAATACCTTCAGTAGAAAAATGAATGAATGCAGCTGAACTAGACAACCTCTGTGAGGTTGTCTATCAGCTACACTGATAGAGCTGAACTCACAAAACCATCAGCTGACGCATGATTTGTTCTTGCATCAAATGAGTGTAACCTGATAAGCAAACTAGACCAAGTAACTAAAGAATTACAGAAACAAACTTGAATGGAGCCCACTGACAAAAAATAAAGCTAAGATTTAGCTGTTAAACTTCATGCAAATAACCAGCAACAGTAGATCAATCTGAGCAGAAGCAAGCAGTGCAACACCAGCTTCCAGAAGGAACACGGTCTTCTCAGAGAAATAGTTCTCTCTTTAGTTCAATCAGTTCTGCAAGCTCTGGAGATCGGAAAAAGCTAATTTTTTTCCTATGGGGATATAATAATTGCAATAAAGCCTGCTGAAGTCCATATGCAGGCAATGCTCATTTCAAAATACTAGCTAACAGCACAGAATAAAAGTTACTATGACTGAAGTACTGTTTGTCGCTGACACTCTACTGAAAAAAATCCCAGTAACACACAGTATTCATCTATTTATTTCAACTGCGTTATCTTTAAATTCTTTGTCCTGGGTGTGGTGAGGCGAAGAGTCCATAAACTTCTGTGTCAACGGGAAGTGCTGCTTCTAAAAAGCCAAGATATCTAACCCTTAAAAAAAAAGGAAAATAAATCCAGCCAAATTCAGCAACAACAGCTCGTTATGATAAACATCCTGGTCTGAGCTGCTTTTTCTTGAAGCACCACTACCATCTTGTGGCCACAGAAGTTAAACCACACGGATAAAACAATGCCTTGTCTGATTTCCACCTAAATCAATTTAGAACACAGTTTAACAGTATCTAATCACCCTAATAGTATTTGGTTCCAACAATCACACTGAAATGAAGACTTAGCACCTCACTGATTTAAAGCTCAACTTTAACCTACTTCTGGGTCCTCTGGGTATCATCAGCACAATGGGAAGCACACATTTCAGGAATATTAGCATAAACACAAACACCTCCATCACCTGAATCAATTTAAAGGTAGTAGGCAAACAGTGAATTCTTTCCTAACATAGCAGTTCTATAGGTCAACTTTTCAGAAGTGCTTACAATTTTAAAAAAATTACTAACTAACTTACAATTTTAAAAAAATTACTAACATAAATTAGCGTACAAACTTGCTGACACCAGAGGACTGACTTACCCATGGAGAGCTTCTGGTAAGAAGTTTAATTATATATTAATCCCCATACTTTAAATACTCGTTCAAGTTGTGAAGTGGAACAATTTCCTGTTCTAACAGACAAGAGTCTAACATGATGAATGACTAGCAAATTTAATACAAAGGGCCAGGAAAACTGGTTTCCATTCTCAGCTTTGCCAGAGATTCTACATCTTAAAATGATAATTCTTCACAGCCCCATGCTATAAGGTTCAGTACACAACCGTATGTGGGGCATACTAAAGTTCTTCAGCAGTGATCAAGAGATCTTTATGACATAAGAAATACTCAAAAAATGAGTCAACTATTACTACCAGGCAAATAGAACATAAGCAAATTCAAGTTGCAACTAAAGCTTTGTGACTCTAGCATGAAGTTATTCTGAGATTTGAAATAATTTTTGAAGCCACGTGATCTCCAGTTACTTTTCACTGCACATGCAGAACTGAAACACAGTCATTATAAATACACCACACTGTCTTCCTAGAGACATTCCCAAAATCTGAGTGAACTAAACTGATCATACATTTGAACTAAAATTTCAGACAATTTATCCAGAAGTGAAACTGTCAATTTCACGAAGAAGTGAGTAATTTACTTTCCTGCTATCCTGGGTTTTTCTTTTTTCCCCTAAAGTTCTTCAAGTCTATCACTCTAGACTTTTCAGAAAAAGTTGCTGCTGTATATTATTACTGGGCACAGTTACTGTAACCTAGTATGAAAACAGTATCTACAAGCAAGACCATAAGGAAGAATTAATCACCTAATGAAATTTCATGTTCAACCTTACCCTAAGGTCCCCTGTGCCTGGAAAATATTCACCATACTTATGGAATGATACTGTCATGACACGATCTGTAGTATAAAATGCTTCTTCAACACCATCACCATGATGAATATCAATATCAATATACAACACTCTTTGGTGATACCTAAAAAAAAAAAAATATTGTATGAAAAACTCATCATTATCTGTTATGTTCATAGTATACCCTTACCTAACAAGGAAAAACCCAATGATAAAAACCAAACAATAAAACCCAAGATTATGATCATTTTTATCACTTTGGTAGCAGTCACCATATGGTCTTAGAATTCTCAATATAGTTTAGACAATAATGAAAGTAAGTTCATCTTCATCAAAATAATTTAAGTATGCAATTATATTAGTAATTACCCCAAGTTGTATCACCTCCTAGAAGCTATACCTTGTGTTTCCATCCACACCACTTTTGGTTGTTCGCATCTGCTGAATTCATTCCTTTCACAGGGCATTTGTTTCTGCCTTCCCAGTAATTATCAACATCTTACTGCATGCTTCAGAATCACAGTGACAGAAGCAGGAAGAACCCATGATCCACAAGCCCATAAAATATTAAATTTAAATACTTATTTTCTATCTAGTTTTCTTCCTCACCTCTGCTACTTGTACAGATAGGCACATTCTTATTTCCAAGAGTACCACCCTTACTATTAGCATGAACTTATTACACTACTGCTTAGTAGAAACCAGTTGTTTGAAGCCTCAGACAACAGTAAGTATTCCTTAAATTCTATCAACATCAGAAGATGCATTTCCATTATACTTTGCATAGTGCTAACGAATGTGAATCTGAGCAATCATAATTTCAGGTGGGCTAAGATTTTTTGCTTAACAAGACACTGAGCAGGACAGCTCCTTATGGGTACATAACCCATAATTATTTGAGAGTTTCTTTCCTTCACAAGCACATTGAGCTAACAAATTTGAGACTGGACCACAGAAAATCATATAGCTTTTCTCAGACTGCAGAGACAGACCCTGAATACATGCCTTAGCTTAAAATTATGTTAACATTGACTACTTGTTGGTGCATTTAGAAACCTTTTTCATTTTTAAAAAACACTTCCAGATTACAGCTGCTTCCCCCATCCCTCACCAGCAGACTCAACTGTTACATTCACAAGAGTCAAATATCTCAAAATTTTTTTTTTAATAAACGAGATGTATGTTATTAGAAGAGATACAGTCCCCTGAAGCAGCACAAGTAACACTCAGGACTTGAAATTTTAGTGAAGCATTACTACTTGAAGTTAATTATATGATCACTTTTTCATTACTCCACATTTTTTTATTTTGCAGTCACAGCAGCACAGCTGTTATTTCATTATTTATTCATAACAGCCACATTAATTCATGTAACAATCCAAGGAAGCTTAGTGTATGATCTTCCCTGAATATTCCTGTTTGGTTTAGCAGTGACTCAAATGATAGGGAACAAGCAGGCATATTGAGAAACCAAATGGGTATATGACTGTGAACATAATGACTGCCATAAGGGGCCAGGGCAGTGATACACCTAGCTCACTATTCTGTCCCCGTGAGTAGCAACAGGAGATTAACATTTACAGAACGCATGTAAGCCTGTCCATTTTCTGCAGTCTGCTACCCTCATACTTCTCCCACCATCTAGAATTACAGCATATGGGGTTTTAGAGGGTGCATCATTGCTTGGATGTTTAGCATGCATTTACAGACCTCCTGTCCATGATTATGCTTAATCTCTTTTTTGAATCTGTTGCTGCTGTCTGCTTCCTTCAGCCTCCTGTAGCAGCAGGCTCCACAAGTATACACTGTGTAAATAAGTACTTCTAAGTACCTGTTTTAAGCCTATCTCCTATTAGTTATCTTTTCAGCTTGTATCTTCTTGCTGAAACCAAACTGGGCAAAGCTTCACATTTTTCTTAATTGAAACTGTACAACATGGGCAATGGAAACTCACTGAAATAGTATTACAACCCGTATCTTCCCATACTTAAATGCTTGAATTTGACACTTTATCTTGTTCCCATCATACACTTACTTCAGTAACTCAAGGATAGCAAGCACAATATCATTGACATAACAGAAACCAGATGCCTCTGATTTCTTGGCATGGTGAAGTCCTCCAGCCCAATTAACAGCCATGTCTGTCTGTTGTCTGTTCAATTTTACTGCCCCAGCTGTAAAAAGACAGACACAATGCAGTTAGAAACTTCTAACGGCCTTTAAATCTGTTACATAAAATAGTATACTAATTTTAAAATAAATTGATCCTAGGTCTGATCTCTTATAGAGATACTTAATCCATTTCACATTTCAGTCTGTAACTGACTTAAAGACTTCTTTAAAAAGAGACACTTACATTTGATTCAGTTTTAAATATGCTATCAAAGTTTTAAGTTGCTGACATAAATGCAATAAATCTACAAAACAGCTGGCAAACAACCTTTACTTACCAACAGAGCCTCCAGTTGACAGCTGACAGAACTCAAATAGGCCATCAAATACAGGACAATCTTCTCCAACATTAACTGTGTAAGAAATGTATTACTTTTCAAAAACACCATTCCAGATCCATTGCTATATGCATGGATAACACATATGCAAGCACAATTCATTCAACATTTTAACTACGCCTGCCTGAGCCTCATCACTGAAACCAATGTAAAGTCTTCTTAATCTAAGATGACTCTAAACTATTTTTATTTTTAGTTTCCATGGGAAGCTTTGTCTCCTTGTTAAGAAGAAGTTAGATCGTTTTTGGATTTTGGAAGAAGTCTGATTAACATACGTCATGTTAAGAAATGCACAGCTACTTGAACAAATAATTTGCTGAGACTAAGGTATCAGAAGGAGGTTACAGTACTGCCTTTTAAATTTATATAATAGCTGTCAAACTGCATTCCTAACAGTACTTTGAGCCTATTCTTATAATTAAAGAAATAAATTAACAGAAAGTGTGAACAGTGAATAATGTACAATTTTTACTATCCAAGAGGAATGAGTATCTCCTTTTCTTGACATGAAACATTTTCATACATAGATTTCTACTTCTCTTGTAAAAGCCATTCTTTTTTTCAGAAATATTTCACATTAGAACAGATTTCAAGACACTTTCACAAACTTAAGTTTAACCTGTGCATTAAGCCTGCAAAAATTATCACTTCACATCTAGAATACACCCTGTGAAAGGGGAAGCAAAAAATCCTTCCATAAACTTAAAAGAACATTTTGCCAAGATGGCTGCTTTTAACAGAAAAGTTCCCAAATTAGTGTAGCTAAAGGCAGGCATATGTTAGTCTTGCTACAGTACTTCCCTAATCCACCACCACCATGAAGCCCTGTTCATACCTCTGTATTGGTAAATACTGAGTTTTAAACAACACTAACCATCAAAGTATGTACACATAGAGTTAACCTAATATTGACACTTACATCTCTGCATCTGCTTGCTGTACTCAGACATATTGTCAGGCCTTATTGATCGGAGAAATTTGATGTATTCATCACTATGGTACTTGGTCATTTCTTCTGCAGTAGCTTTGTGGGGTCGCTGATAACAAGAACAAGGTATAGAAATAATCAAGAATGCTCTTCAAAATCAGCTAAGAACTTTCTAAAACAGACAGTTGGAAAGAAACCTAATTTGAAGGAAGAACAGTTAAATTGACAGCACTGCTGCTTTACACAAAACATACTCTGTTGTTAGTATACAACTTGATTAATTACCCCAATGTCTTCCTAACACCTAAGCCCCCAACCACAGAAATACTGGTGAAAATTCTCTACTGGGCCTCTACACTCCTTCCAGACATGGACAATAATCTGCAGTCCTCACCAATTACAAAATATTGCTTCACTTCTAACAGAGGCCTCTGAACATACTATTTAAGTATTTTCTATTTCCACTTCCACTTTTCTCCTTTTATTTGTGTGAGAACACTTGAAGCCCTTTAAAATAATTTAAAATGCTTCAGTGGACATTCCATTGCTTATACTCACATAAATTTCCATTTTTCTGTATAAGCCATAATTTAGCAGCAAGTTGTGGGTCATTCGGATCCTATGAGGTTTCATCGGATGCCCTTGTCCATAGTAATAGTTTCCAATATCACCTGTCAATATCACACAAATGAATAGCTATTACAAAGCCATTTTTAATTGCTACATACAAGAATCATTCTCAGAAAATAAGCAAGCAGGTATGATTCCACAAAAAAACGCCCTCAAAACATCCAAGAAAATCCTCAACAAAAACCCAAAAACCAACTGAAAAAAAGGAAGGCAAATCTAACAGTTTTACTACAAGCAGACAGTAGTGGGAAGGCAAAGATGCCTACAGGATGTGATTTCCAATCAGAAGTGAAGAAAATAGTGGGACAGAACTGAAGAATAAATTATAGGAAACAGAACTGGAATTAAGAGAGCAGAAACTACTGATGACACAGCCATACTATACCACAACAGAGGTTACAGCAAAGCCTGCCACTTTGCAGGAGCTGATCTGAAGACACCATCCTCAGCCTGCCCTTAACTACTAGCCCTAGCAGTCACATTCTAGAAGCTAGCTTTAGATGCATTGCTGCAATCACATGCACAAACATTCCCCAAACACCTGCTTGCTAGGGATCCACAGTAGTTTATTAACAGAACCTGTAATTCAGGCTAGCTCAGCTCTGTCAAATTGGAGAGCAACTAGACACACAATTACGGTTACAAGTTTGACACATTATTTCTAAGGAAAGAGTGGCTACTATCACAGGCTAGTAAGTTTTCCCCCAGCTGGAGTAATGTTAGAACATACACACCTCTCTCCACTTTGAACACTGATATTACTGAGACATGAACCTCTTTAAACAGAACTAGCAATTCATATGTTTCTGGAAACTTAGAGAAGCCCAAAAGGTATGTCCAACTGTCAATGGCCATCAGCTAGAGAATTCCATACCAACTATTTGCAGTAGTACCTATTATTTTTGACTAAATTTCCTGGTAGGATTAGTGAACTTTTTACTTTTGTGAATTTACTTAGTGAATTTTAACTTTTTTTTTTTTTTTTTTTTTTACATCCTCCAACATGCTCTGCCTTGTCCATTGGGAACAAAAGCAGCACTGTTTTCAGAATGTCATACTATTTTACAAATTTTGTTAATGAGAGGTAAGAAGTAGCACTGTTACAGAAAACCCTTAGTTTCATCTCTTCAACATAAGCTTCAGTTCAGGAGGAGGAGGAGAAAATTTCAGCTGCAGTAGCACCACCAACTACCAAGAAAAGCAAGCATTACAGTCAGATAAAATCTCAAAGCACTCTAAAATCCAGCTTTCAAAGTGATAAGGAGAGTAAGGACATTTAGGAAAACAGATATAACCTAATGTAATGCAAGATGAAATTATCTAGAAAAACAATCACTCAACACCTAGCTCTTAGCAGTCCCATAACAACAGAAATACCAAGTTTTAGCATTAAGAACTTCAAAGAACTTGGTCCTACTAATTTAGGAATTGAAGTGTATTATTAGTACTCCCTGTCCGTTATTAAGAGCTGGCATCTTGCAGATACTTATTGCAAGCTTGCAATTTTGGTCAGAGGCAAGTCAAGAGCAAAAGGTATTGAGAATATAACCACCTTCCTTCCTACCAAGAAAAAAAAATAAAAAATTTCCAAGCATCTTACAAAACAGTACAAATTTGGAATTTAGGAAAGATCTACCACAGCTCTTTGAAACTAATGACTAGAAGATGTAAACCAGCCATTTACAAGGCCTGCTTTGCTTTGTGAAATTATTGTTAAGTCTCAGATTTACAAAACTTCAAGCTATCAACATCTTAAAATTTTGACATTTTTAAGACAATAGTGACTTTCAATAACATGATACTTTTGAGCAAACTGAATGCCAAATACATCTGTGGTTTAAAGAATGTTTATGTATATGTCATACTTTTTTTTGTCTTAAACAGGTCACTTTAATTTTAACTAACTTCAGCTTGTATAGTCACTGACATTTTACTCAGAACATTGATGGATAAAGAAGCAGACCATGAAGAATTATTTTCTGTCTTATGTAAAACATAAGATCTGTTATTGTCCCTTATGTAAGAGAATAAAAAAAGGCTACCAAGCTTCCAAAATATACTTGCAACATATCCTTTGATATACTGCAGTTGATAAATTCAAACGTAAGCATATTATACATGCCATACTCTTCAGTGTATGTACACTTAAAAAAATAATCAGTCAATTAAGCATACCTTTTAATTTTCACTTTATTTTTTACCAGAAAGGTGAACTTTAAAAAGAATTTGCAAGTTGGTAAATTAAATGGGAGCTTATTTAATCACGTAGACCTATGGGTGAGTATCTAGCAGAAGCATATTAATCTTTCCATATTAGACATTAGCAGTAATGACTAACAATAGATAATAGTATACACATTAGCAACAGGCAATACGATTTACACCTTTCAGGTCTTAGCATCACTAGCAAAAAAAAAAAAAAAAAAGAAAAAGTTTTGGCATTAGCCTCATAAAACAATAAATTCAAACATACGGAAAAAAAACCCCATGAAGTTTCAAGGGACTGTTGCAATGTGGATGTTAGCAGAGGTGGGGAAGGAAAAGGTACAGAGTAGGTTCCAGTTTCTTCATTAGCACCTTGATTTCCAGCCAACAACATCACAAAAAAGCAGCCATCATCCTGTGGTGAAGGCAAAGGTGTCAAAAGTCTCTCCTGCTTTACTCAGTGAAGATGCCCTTCCTAGTACAAACACTTTATCCACAACTGAGGTAAAAAGTTCTGCGCATAGTGCCAGACAAACTCTGACTAGAATATAGTATATATGAGTATATAAGTGAGGCCAAGTGCACAAGACTAGTATTGCAGACAGTATGAGTATTTAATCTTACATTTGTCAATACAAAGGTAAAAAACATATAGAAGTGTATGAGAAATGAGCATATTTTATACCACTCACCAGTGTGGTTGCCCACAGGAAGTGCAAAAGAACATAAATTAAAAAGGAGGTGGAGGGAAAACATGCAAAGTAGTATATGCAGAAAGTTGGCAAATCTATTAAGCTTTCACAGCAAGGCTTCAAGGACTCAAATTTACTGGTTAATACCAGTAAAAATATCAGCTAAATGGCTCTCATTGAGAAGGAACAACATAATCTCCAGAAGTTGAATCCTTAACTGAAAAGAAACAAACCAAGAGCCAACTCTAGCATGAGCTTACTGTCCTGCAGTGTTCACCACAAGATTCAAAACATGATACCTACAAATGACCAAAAGAGCTACCTGAAAATTCAGTTGTAGCATACATCATCACGTTTTGGGTTCAAATATATTAAAAAAATAAATATTATTACTTCTCAGTTCATACAAGTCACTTGCCTAAATTCTGAAGAGCGCTACCAAATAAAAATAAACCTACATGACTCATCTGATAAACATAAGTTTTAGACTAGCTTTAGAACTTCTCTGTCGAAGACTTCAGCAAGGTCCACAGATGTCAAATACTTCAATACATAGAAAAATACAAGAGACTATGTGCCCTAAAGCAATTTCAGTTATGCCTGACAAGCACACAACCAATTAACAAAAGCTGTTACGTCCCCCAAAAAGTATGTTAGTCTCTCTAGTTATTCAAACTACATAGAAAAACAGTACCTTTAAATTAGCCATTGCAGAACAGTTTTAAAGGCCTGAACAAAGAGGCAAGATGCAACATTCACCTATCATTTTTCGATACTTTGTAACTTGTAAGTTACATTACTTTGTAACTTTGATACAAATAGATTGTTATATACACTGACCATGTCTGCTTATTTTAAGTACAGTTACTATAAAACCATGAGGTATTTCAGAATGGTACTAACTGCTGCAATGGAAACCACATAAAAAAAACACAAAGAAATCTTAATAGGAGTAGTTACATTTGGACTGACTTCAGCAATACTAATGGGTGAACTCATGTAACAATGAATGTAAAAGCTCATTAATGCCTGATCAGTCTAACAAACATCTATTCAAACAGGCCTAAAATTAGTTCACTAGCACCTGAAAGGCTGGTTTGGGTCGTTTGGCTTTTTTTATTTCGTGATTTGGTTTTTTTTGCTAGCTTTTAAAATCAAGCAGAAAGCATAAGATTAGCAAAGCTATGACTTTTGATCCCTGAACAGAGGTTGGACATCTCCAATGTGTTTGGAAGCCACTGTGCAAAGCACTGATGAATTTCTGTGAAACCCCTCATTTTACGTTCATCTGATTTGCAGACATAAGCTTTAACTAGAAGCGCTAATGTACTTAAAACAGTGTCTGAATATAGTAGCATTCTGCCCTATTAAAACAGGTTTAGTCTCGTTTTTATGGGTGGGACCAACCACATTCTGAAGCAGATCTCAAATTTTTCACGAAGGCAGAGCCTTTTGAAAACCCACATTACATTATGCACAAGCAGCAATCTAAACAATACTGCCAGTGCACTGGCATGGAATGAATACACTTATTAACGTAACCATGTTAGTTGTGTGATTCCCCAGAACTGTGCTTTGTTGTAAAAGCAGAGTTGAAAAGACCATTTAGGCCCTGTCCTCATTGCTATGGGCAACTGTACAACACATACCTATCCTGGAAGATGCCACTGAACTACCTGAGCCAAATGCTGCAAGACTGTGGCAATACCGTGGAGACACATGGTAAGAGGCTAAAATAAAATACTAAGGACTTGGGTTGATAAGAAAATGAACATGAGCCGTAAGCGTGCGCTTGCAGCCCAGAAAGCCAACCGTATCCTGGGCTGCATCAAAAGAAGCATGACAAGCAGGTTGAAGGAGGTGATCCTGCCCCTCTACTCTGCTCTCGTGAGACCTCACCTGAAGTACTGTGTGCAGTTTTGGTATCCGCAACATAAAAAGGACATGGAACTGTTGGAACAAGTCCAGAGGAGGGCCACGAGGATAATCAGGGAACTGGAGCACCTCCCGTATGAAGGCAGGCTGAGAAAATTGGGGCTGTTCACCTGGAGAAGGCTGCGTAGAGACCTCCTAGCAGCCTTCCAGTATCTGAAGAGGGCCTATAGGGATGCTGGGGAGGGACTGTTCATTAGGGACTGTAGTGACAGGACAAGGGGTAACGGTTTCAAACTTAAGCAGGGGAAGTTTAGATTGGATATAAGGAGGAAATTCTTTCCTGTTAGGGTGGTGAGGCCCTGGAATGGGTCGCCCAGGCAGGCTGTGAATGCTCCATCCCTGGCAGTGTTCAAGGCCAGGTTGGACGAAGCCTTGGGTGAGATGGTTTAGTGTGAGGCGTCCCTGCCCATGGCAGGGGGGTTGGAACTAGATGATCTTAAGGTCCTTTCCAACCCTAACCGTTCTATGATTCTATGATTCCCTAGTAGCATAGTTCTAAGCAGCACGAAGAACAGACTTCACTAAGCTATGGCCATATGTACATTCAGACTAGAAGCATTTATTAAACATATTTTGGACAAGATGACAAAAGTATTTTAATCTGTACATTTTTAGTTCTTCTCATAGCATACTGGTGCAAATTTAAACAAAATTCTTGATGTGAGCATGATCACAAGCAATGCTTCTGCAAACTGGATGTGGCTGACAGTCTATTACAAACTGCAGAAAATTAAATCACGCTTCACCCACCCAAAGTTTTATTGGTTTCAAGTACAATGTGAAGGCTATTAAAGCTGTTAATTATCAGAAAGAGTTAATACACTGAGAAAACTTGGTGACAGGCTAATTTAAGAAAGCAATTTTTTCTGACAATACTGAGTTTCACTAAAGTATGTAGGAATTTATTGCATCTTAGGAGATATGCATATACAATTCCAGTACTTTTCAACACTTCCTAGTGTATGCTTTTAAAGAAAGAGAGTGCAAGTGTGCATTAAGGGACAATTATGACCAAAAAATACTCATATACTTCAGTTATGACAACCTTGGAGATATGTTACTACCTCAACTGTAGTATCTATGAGTTGAGGTATCTATGGGTTCTTCTGGCTTTCGGCTAAGACTTCCAATGTTCCTTGTGCTTTGATTCAAGACTTTGCTGGTACAACACAGTTACAAGATACTCAGAACTGCCAGATGAGCAATAAATTAGCATCAAAAATACTTACTGCAGGTATTAACTCAAAAAAGAGTTATCAGAAGAAATTTTAAAGTATTCAGAAACAGTGCAGATGCCCTCAGTGACATGCTTTAGTGGTGGACTTGACAGTCCTGGGCTAACAGTTGGACTTGATGATCTTAAAGGTCTTTTCCAATCTAGTTGATTCTATTATTCTATTTCCAAAAGAATGTAAGATAAACTTTTGCTTTTGGCAGTAAATAATAAGACATCAAAAGCATTCCAAAGCTGTACCTTTCTGTCACATAGAAAGCATTTAATTTTTTTAAAATCACTTTTACAACAGGCACTACTATTGTTAAATACATTTATCCAATGTACATACTTTGGCAAGATATGAGCTACAACTGCTTTAAGTCGCCATTATCCTGCCACCTTCAAACTTATTCCTTCTGCAGTTTCTCTCTCCTCTTCAGTAGTATAGCTTTGTGGCTGTTAAGGGAATCTCTTGCTAGAAATAAGTATAAAAATGTAGGGATAACAGAAAAACTGAAGCTGTCAATAACCAGTAAACTACAGCCACCTGACTTAACAAAAAAAAAAAAAAGGAAAAAAGAAAGCATATTGATAAAAAAAAAAATAAAACAAACCCAAAACCAAATTATACAATCATTTGCAGAGAGAAAGCTTATAAACTATCATTGCATCTTCCTTACAACAAGAAAGGCAAAAAGTGATACCTGCTCCTTAGGAAAAGTAAGATCCCAGCCTCACCAAAATTATCCCTAACAGGGGCCTCCTTCCCCCTTCAGGCTGAACAAAGAATCAGAGCTAGCAACAAAGAGAAGGGGGCGGCAACCACAGTCTGCCTCCTTTAGTGTAGTAAAAGGGAAGAAAAAAAAAAAAAGAAAAAAGACAGGCCCCACAAGGTCTGCCATTTCTAAAGAACAGTAGATTTGCTACAGCAACAGACATCTTTGATATCTTAGTGGGTTTAGCTATTCGTCTTCAGTTCCAAAATGGTCAAAGCACTAAAGCAACCTTAACCTCGGTTTCCTGGTTATTACCAATACCAGTCCCAGGCGCTAACGTAAAGGACTGATACGAGACAATTCTTTAAAAACATAAATAAAAACCTAATACTCTCAACTAATCTGACCGAGTTTGTCCTCCTAGTACATAAAAAGGAAAACCAACTGCAATCTCTAGAAAAAAAAAAAAGTTCTCGCTGCTGTGGCCAGACAGAACCACAACCAAGTTGCTGCAAACAGCTAAAACTAAAGCAGAAGCTTTATGTGCTTTTCCGACGTGACTGATAATGCAGATCACAAGCCGCTGCGTCCTCACTAGACAAGCGTGCAAACTTAGAAGGCCTCCAAGCAACTCTAATTTCACTATTATTAAACACCTACGCACGCAACTTTCGTGTTTGGCTGGAACAGAGGTCCGCGGAAGCCGGAACTCCACCAAACGTCCACTCCAACGCATATTCGCTTAGGGAGATGGTGGGGGTGTGTGGGGAGGCAGAGACGCCCCTGCCCCCTCCGCACGAAAGCCGGAGGAAGGGGAAGGCCTCCGCGCAGGAATCACCAGGTGCCCGAGCTACACATGGCCCAGACTTTTTGCAGGGGAGGAGCTAGACACGGCAGCGACTCCAACGGCTCAGAGCTTAGCGGATGAAGGGGAGTGTCCCAACTTTTTCTTTTTTTTTTTTTCTTCTTTTTGGAGGGGGAGTACTTGGGGAGGAACAATAGGCACAGCGTTCACGGCTGGGCTCGGCAACCGCTCCGCCGGAGGACAGGCAGCCCCATAATCCGCACCTCGCCCGGCTCCAACCCCCGCTCCCAACACTCCTCGCCGCCCCTTCCCCCTCGCCCGGAGGCCCCCGGGACTCAGCCCCGCAGCGGGCCCGAGTGCGCAGGGCCGATGGCGGGAGCGGGGCGCGGCGGCGCAGGTGGAGGCGTCGGAGACCCCCCGGCCAGGGCCGCCATGGAGTCGGGATAGGGGGCTTGCTCCGTGGGGGAAGGGGCGCCCGCAGTGGCGGGGTACGGGGGCAGACAGCCCACCCCAGACAGCCGTTGGAGGGGCTTCCCTTATCCTCACGCATACACGCGCTCCCGTGCCGGCCCCTCTCACCGTCATAGTAGTAGCAGACTTTCTTCTTGCCGCCGCCCTGACTGTACGCCATAGGGCTGCTGAGCTGGGGCCGGGGGGAGGGAGCAGGAGGCCGAGGCGAGCGTCGAGCCGGCACGGAGTGGGGGCGGGAGACGGCGAACCCGAGAGAGCGGGAACTCGCGACGCCGGGCCGCGGGCAGCGCAAGCAAGCCCGACCATCGGCAGCGGGGGGGGGGAAGCAACCGGGGCGCGCCCAAGCCGCCGCCGCCGGGGGAAGAAAGTAAAAGAAGGAGGCGGAGAAAATACGTGCGAGAGAGCGCGGACTCTCGTCTGCTTGTCCCTGCCCTCGTGTCTTAATCAGACACACAGTCAGGGAAGGAGCCAGCGGGAAGTCTTCATAACCGAATTCTTGGAGGAAACTCTCTCCTCATACACCCCCGCGTCGTGCAGTGGTGCGATCCACCGGTGGGCTGTGTCCCCGCCCCTCAGCGGCGTCCCCCGTGGCGCATGCGCTGAGTGGCCTCTCGTTTAGCGAGGTACGGGTCGGGTGTAGCATGGCGTTTGTCGTGGGGAGCAGGAAACGCGCACCCCGGCAAGCAGCGGGGCCTTTACCTCCTCAGGGGTAGAGTCGCAGCGATTCCCCTCAGCCACTTCACCTGGGAACGAGCGGGTGGGAGTGCTGGGTGGGTGCTCAACGTACTGTTGGGGGGGGGGGGGATGGGATGGGAATTTGTATCATGTGCTGCTCTCTTGCCCCAGAGCGAGATGTCGCGAAATCTGCTGTTACCCACAACCCAGCTGTTTCTGGTGTGGGTTTGTTTATTTGCTTCAGTACTGGAGTTGCGTGCTGCTGTTTTTTTATCTTTGTTTTGTTGACTAGCAAAGTCGGGAAGGTTTTTGGAGAAGCTGCTATTTTGCCCTTGTTCAGAAAGAGCCCTATTCACTTCTCATCCATCCACCAGGTACCTGAGGCAACAGGCGGCCGCAGCCAGGCTTCAGGCCAATGCAGTGCTAGGAATGAGTACTCCTGACCTGGAGTACTGACAGGGCCAACAACAGCCTGGGCCCTGTTGGCACTGTTGCTGTTCAGTATCCCTGTTCTAGAAGGAGTTCAAAGCATACTTCACAATATGCACAGCAATTACTTCTTCCAGAATTAAGGCATGCTATGCAAGATGAAAGTAGTTGTGGTTTTATAAAAAGGGATGCACATGTGAATCGAGTTTCAGAGGTCTACAAGTGTTGTACAGTACAAACACAGAAGGAAACACAGAAAGTTAATGTGATTGCATTTATTCTTGGCCAGTAACTACAGCTTGCTTTTATTTGCATTTATATAGGGGTTCGCACTTGCAAGAATTTGAGTCTGGGAATGTGTATCAGTTACACAAAAGGTTACTGTTTCTTCAGCTCCCATGCAAATCCAGTGTTTAGGATTTGCATTCATTGTAGAAGTCTTGTCCAAGCTTCCTTGGTTTATTGGAGTCCGTAAAAGTACCTGGAAACCCTGGTTGTTGCCACATGTACCTTTATATTAGATTATATAAATGCCTACTTGTTATCAACATCATTCATCAACACCAGTACATGTCCAAACACAGGATAGAACTGTGTTCCCAGAATTATTTTCACTCCTAGAGATACCTAACTGAAAGCTAGGTCCTTGTAGCTGATAAAAGTTGTCTTTATACTGTTAGAGAGAAACAACTGTATAAACTTAAACTTATTTAAGTTTATGTTAACCACATGTATACATGCACAAAACCCTGAGGGTAAACCTAGGACATGCTGAAATAAAAATAGGCTCTGGATTCCCCCACCCCTCGCATGCTGTAACAAAGAAGATACTATTTTGTCATGTAGCCGGGTGGTGGAGCATGTTTAAAAAGCATTTGCTGTATTCCGTTTGGAAATTTCTCTCTTGGAAGTAACAGAATTGGTTTCTGTAGCTTATCATACAGATGATAAGTGATTCTGGCTGCAAACTGCAGCAAAATAGCTGCATGACATTATTCACTTACCACTAATTTGCTTTTAGCCTCATCTTGCTTTATGCTGTCACTACTTCAGCAGTTAGTTTGGACTCCAGAAGCTCCATGCATTGGTTACCTAATACAAAATAAAGTATTATAGACTTTGACAATTGAAGTTCAGTGTGAAGTTACTGGGTATTTTGTACTTGCCTGATAAACACTTGCATCCAAACAACAGAATAGCAGAAGTTAGCTGTCTCAATATGAGGAATCCTTTCACTTGTCAAAGTTCTTCTTGAGGACTTTATCTAAAGAATAACGTTTGTAATTACACTAGTAAGTTATACAATTAGTTTCAGATGGGTATTCAATCTCATATGAAAACTTACTTTGGTGTAAATGAAACTGAAGTGACATTGACAAAATCAAGAGAATCTGCTTTGCTTTCAGGGTAGAAATGACTACACGTGTTTTCTTCTAACACCTGAATTGATGTAAGTGTAGTTCTCGTTTAGAGAAGCTCCTAGAATAGTAACTCCTACCTTAATTAAAGAAGTGCAAACAATAATACAGAATTATCCTGTAGTCTGAGAGATAAGAATTAGTTCACTGAATTTGTAATAATTCACCATTACAGTAAGGACACTTAGATTTAACAGGTCAGTAAAGATTAAATATCAGTTTTCAAAGGTATGTATACAAGGGTGATTTCCTAGCCCAGTCTCACTTTTAGAAATGCAAGTTCTGTAGATATGTTCAGACATGCTTGTTAAGGAGACAGCCTGAGAGCTGTGCTACACAAAAGCTAATAATATGGAAGAAACCCTGGAGCAGTCACTCCCCACGGTAAGCACACATGAGCATCCACTACTTGAGTCCCAGGCCAGTTCTGAGACAGAAAAGAGTGTATAGCAAAGCAGCAGTTGGAAAGGTGACTATTCAGTTTTAATGGGTAGCTACATACAGATATGATTTTACAACATAATGGGAGTATTTTTATACCTTCCTGTAATTGCTTGTGCTCTTAGTGGATTACTTTTAGCTTTATTTCACCCTTTCTCCTCATCATTATACTAGCACTAGCTTGTTCTTTCACACAGTATTTATGTTGTACCTTAGATTGTGTTTATTTAGAAAGTGACATGAAAAAAGTAGCAATAAGGGTCTTTAAACAGAAGAATAGCTTTCAGCTTCAGCATTTGGAGCCAGCATTGCAATAGGAACTATTACTATTTATTACATATATCTCCTAAATCTCATCACTGTGGAAGCTCAGTGAATGCTTATGTAAACAGTGAATCAGAAATCCTTTATAGCAAAAAGTTAAAACTTTTGTTTTTCTCCTCAAGAAGTGATCAGTATGGCATTCTCAAATCCAGAGGACTCCCCCAGTAAAAGCTTCAGTGAAGGCTCTGTACCACCTTTTTTTCCCCTTCTAGCAGTTGCTGTAGAAAAGTGGATTACTCATACACCACAGAAATCATCACCTGATGACCTTCATTCTCTTTCCTTGTGTAATCTAGAAGCATAAAGATACAGCTAGAAAGCTTTCCATCAGCTAGTTCACTACTTACCCAAACTCTGCAACCCCATGCATAGTCACATACATACAGCCACCTTAGCTCACTTGAGCAGAACTGAAATAAAGTTGAGAAAAAAAAACAAACAAACCCACCTCACAAAAGAAAAATTAAAACTACACCAAAGAAAGAAAACCTTCCCCCAAAAATTTGAAAGAGCAAAAGAAATTGTCCACCTGTCAATGGGCCTCCTCATTATCAAGGAACAGAGCCTTTTAAACTACCTCTGTCTAGACAATACACTCACCCCCCAAACTAATTTAACTTAGAGATATGCACAAAATCTGTTCATTAAATTGCCACCTCATAGAATAGCTATCCATTGTACTATGAAGTATAACCCAGTTCTCATCCTTTAACCCATAGCCATATTCCTCTTCATTCCCCTACCCCCTTTTTTATCTGTGAAAAGTAAGCATTTTCAGGTGCTTCCTGCTAAAGCAGCATTCACAGCCGCAAACATGTAATCACGCATGCAGAAATGGAAGGAGAAAGTCGCAGACAACACTACTGACTTTTGCCAGTATTTAGTAATATCACAGTTTCTTGACAGCGCAAAAGAGCATTAACATGGAAAAAGTAGTTTTCTCAGGCTGTTTGTAGACAAGAGTTCTAGAAAGCATGAGTAAATAGGGATTTGCGGCTGATTTGCTGAGAAGGAAATAACAGGTTTCATCATGCAGATACATTGCTAATGAAATCACTTTATGAAGAATATCAAAGTCATTAAAGGACAAATAGATAATGAGAGCTAAATAGAAAACTGTGAGGTTCAGTTTTTTTTCCTTTGCTTCTTTGTGCAATAAGCACTGATAATAGTGCTTTTGAATTTCAAGAAGGTAGACTGATGAATATTCTTTCTTAATTATTGCTGGAAAGTGCTAGGGATCAGAATGGTTTTGTTCTAATACTGTACAATAGTGATTACTGTCTGTGAGCTATGGGAACTTGCCCTACTCCTGAATGCTCACATCAATAGTAAAACATGGCAATGATTTCAGTTTCAGTGGTAGGCCAGTATATTTTCTTACATGCCCATAATTTCTCTGTGCACTGCTTTCATCTCTATGTGCTGTGTATAAACATAATACCTCAGTAGTATATTCTGCCTGGGGCTGCTGTACCCACCCACTGAATCTCTTCTATAGTTGCCTGAAACTGGTTCCCTGTGCAGTTGTGCACCTGGCAGTCTGATAGCCAGGCAAACTCTGCCTTCAGTACTTAGCACGTAAACACAGATGCAGTTTTTATGCAAAGCAGAATGAGATAATGCAATAGCTCTACTTCTTGTCTTTTAAAAAATGGCTATGTAAAGTTTTTAAAGCACGTAATCATCAATGTTCAAGTATTTTCTTTAAAAAACTTATTTTTAAAAAAGTTGTTAGGAGTAGGAAGGTGGATTGCAAGAAGCCTGCAATGCTAGGTATAGTATAATGAGAGTAATGTAATTAGCCTTTTCTATTTATATTGAAAACTTTCAAAACCCTAAAGAAAATGGTACACATCCACCTTTATAAGAACTTAGATGTCTGTTGCTAGCTTTTGCAGTTAAAATACTCTTTCTTAGTGACTGCTAGACTGCCCAGTATACACAGTCTTCTAGTGTTCATTGTTTGCATCAAAAGATCAGTTTAAATTATGCTAGCTTTTGGTGAGATGACTGGATGATAGTACTTGTATCTGGTAAAGCCTGAAGAAAGACATCTTTTAAAAGAAAATCTGACAGATAGTTATGACATTGAGGAAATACGGATTAAAAAAGTAACCTTCCATCACAGTATATTTCCCAGAGCCACAGACCTCCATATCAAGCACAGTACTTGTGACTTACTGGTTTCTGCTTTACTTTGCTTTATTCTACCTACTTCTGAGCTAAATACTGAAGTTGGGTGGAAGGTAAACTTGTGTAAAGCAGCAAACAGGCCTTCTAAACTAGTAAATGGTGTTTTAATAGCTCTGTATGCTTGCAAATTGCTAGGGTTAAATGTTTCTGTTTTATAGCAGCAGTCCAATTTACAGAAATTGGTATGAAAAACTCAGATAAGTTTTTGTTTTCAGGAAGCAGTGGGAAACTTGGTATCCTGCTAGTGGGAAACAGTCTGTTGGTAGGAAGTCCGCAGATGAGGAGCATATCAGAACACAGATGAGCGGTGTGCTGAGTATCACTGTTCTCCAGCAAATCCTGAAGAGTGAGTCCTGAACTGCTATAACCCATAAGTCATTTGCTTATTTCTTCTCTGTCTAGGGGCTGAACAGGTCAGAGCTGATAAGACATTCTGGTCCCTGCATGATTCACTTTCCTTCCTGTTTCCTTAATTAACTCTTGATATCTCAAACAAACAAACAAGAAAAGAACCACTGGCCGTCTATGCAAACACCCTGCCAGTGCTATTTTTTTTTGCCTGTCAGGTGTACCATGTGAAATGTTATTAAAATAAAGCTATATTTGCATAAGGAAATGCACCAATATATTTTAAATAAAATTTAAAACTAATTTATGCTGTAGTGAGGCACTATAGAAACACCATTTCAATTCCACAGTGGTGGGTTAGCTTCAATAAAAACTGATTCTAATCTTTGGCATCTAATCTGTTATAAAGCAGTGTCCACATAGTTATTTGTATCAATTAGAAAACAATTTAAGGTAAGCAGGGACAAGCATCTCATATAACTGGTGCCTATCAGTTTGAATTTCCTATCTGACTGAGTCTTGGCAATGAATAAATTGCCAATGAATACAAAAACTAAATGGAATTCTGGGGTCTGTAGACAGCTCACTGCTCGGAGTACAAAACAGCTCACCACTTCATTAGCTATACCATTGCAAGGTTAAAAAACAAAAAGGGCAACCTGAGGATGGATGTGTCTGAGGAGATACTCAGTTTTCAGCATGCAGGTGAGATCCTTGGCAATTCTCTTTAGCTTTGTTTCCACTGTGCAGGAATTACCAGCAGACTGTGGATCAGCAATCTCATTATTGCAGAGTCATGAATGTTCCTTCTCATCTGTTCTTAGCGTGGATATATCACAGGTGCAATGTACCACAACCTTTCTTTGCAGCACAGCAAACCTGTGTCAAAGAACAGAAGCAAAGGTGAGCAAAAGCATTTTTACAAAATGGGTCCTGAAGAAATCTTTTCTTGTTACTTCTCACAAATCTAGTAAAAAACAATTGTTGTTTAGACATTTTTAAGCAACTCTGATATTTTTCAGGAGACCACTAAAAAAAGCCAATAAATTAAAAATTATCCCTTCCAAATACCGAAATAGCTTTCTATCCCACTGACCCAGCTTAATATTATATTCTAGAAGCCATATTTCACATTTTAGGACCTGTGATTTATTGGTAGCTGTCTGTATTAATCTGTCATATTGTACCAAGATGAAAATAGTGCATTGTATATACTATACATATTCTGTCTTTTTACCAGCAACACTGACTTTAGTAATGGAAACAAGTTCTTCTGTGCACCTTTCTGTCATCATTTTTCCTGGAACCACTGATGTTGCTGTGCTGGCTGCACACTCACCTTTCTGCCAAAATTCCTGTTTCCTCACGTCAGCCTACTTGATAAGCATATTTCTTCAAGATTATCACATCCATGCAGGTGGTGGTTAGGAGATCAAAGTATTTAAAGGGCAGGCTGAAGCCTGCTTCTTGGCACTGAAGTGATTGAGGAGCAAACTGAAACAGAGCTTTTAGGTTCTTGCAGAAGAAACAAAATAAGAAAGTCCCTGTTGTATTTTTATTCCCCATTAAATTGCCCATGCCATTTTATTTGCTTTTTAATCAGTTTTAGCCCATCACATATTCAATATGAGGCTTAAATATCAGGTATCTCAGAATGCTGTCTAAGGGCTGGCATGGCCACATCTGTCTTTCTGGCAGCACTTTCCTGATTCCAGATTTGGCAGTGAACCCCAACAATAAGCCAGCTGGACCAAGAAAAGTGTCTCCTTCACACATCATCGTCCTCAGCTCCTCAGGCCTTTCCTTGGTTTCTGTGCAGGCCAGTGGGTCCCTTGGCACATCAATCAGAATACCATTTTGGCAAATATAGGCAGGCAGCAGTGTGGGAAGTGCCTCAGGGTGCTTCACTGGTAAGAAGACTGTGGAGACCAGTGATCTCCAAAGGGAAGAGCAATATGGTCAGTCTGATCTGCTGAGTGCTCATATGATATTACAATAATATGTGGGGTCCATTAGGCTGAAAGCTAAGAAAAAAAGGAATATGAAATGTAATGGTGTAAGACAGTATAATAGAGGGATTGTCCTCTAAAATGACCAGAAGGAATGATGAGTAAGCAGTCTGCTTTAGTAGGATTATAGCTGAGAGGCTATGACTGGTTGCATTTTACATATACCCTGACTCTAAATCTAGAGTGATTCTTTCATAGCTCCAAACCCAAGTGAGGTCTCTCACTTTTCCCAATATCACATTCCAAAGTCGCCTGGCAGGAAGTCACTTCTGCAGTTTAGGTCTTCCATGAGACTTCCTGCCTGAAGAGATGAGGCAAGTCAAAAAGATGTATTGATCTGTTGAGAGATGCAGAGGGAGAAAGCTGGTTCAGAGCTTGAGAATTAATTCTTCAATTCTAAGCTCTAGCTAGCTTCTATCAGGCATTCTTTTTTTTTCTTCTTTTTTTCAGATGTGATTTACTTAAGCCTAAATGTCTACACAAGCAGCTGGTTTAACACCTAAGCTATTTATACCAGCTGAGCATCTGAACAAGTTATATTCCAGTGATTCCCAAACTACCTATTTTCACTGCAGTTTACTTAAATAGCCAAACCTATTTTGAGAATACCAAGTACTTATTTCTGCTACCGTATTTATGTCAAAAATTTTAACAGTTCTAAATATATCTTCAGTCTCCCAAGAGACCTAGATTTTAAAAGCAAAATATAGCAGAAGTCAAAGGCTCTAGTTCTGACATGAAAAGCAAATAACAGAACTAAATCTTGTATCTTTTTTCAACTCAGGTATTTAACACTTTGTCATAGACAATATGAAAAATTGAGGTTACTCTCTCGTACATAACCTAATGGCCTAATTCTCTGCTACTTTGTTCTTTACAGAATCCTGAATTAAAGCAGAATTTAGTACTGTCCATGAAGTGTCCCTTGATTCAGATTTTTAGGTGGCAATGATTAAACATCCTGAGATACTGATATTCAACCTTCACAATGTTCGAACTATATTTTTTAACTATAGAATAAACATATGAAGCTGCACCTGCCTACCTTCTATTACAGGGGTGGAAAAGAAGTAGCTACAGATTTATTTAGCAAAAAGCTAAGGAAAGAAGTATTTTTCAGATACAGCACTTAAACAGAGGCGGTAGTGAATTTACCAGTTAGGAGAATTCAGCCAACTACAGTTACTGCATTATGGACAACTGGCAGAGATTCTCTACATTGTCTCTAATGTTCAAGGACTTTCCAAAGACTCATAAAGACTTATGAAAAAACCTGGTGATTTTTCAAGAGAACAAAACCAAATTGAGTTACATTTCTTAGTGCTTTTTTAGAAGAAAATTATTGACTTTCACTGCATTTGAAGACAAATCCAGTCTCTTTTTAAGCTGTTACTCTAAAGCTTTGAAGTGACTTTTTCAGGTGCTGTATTTCACAGCAAGTGGAGATATATATATATATGGGAAGTGTTGGGTTTTTTAATTATTGTGCTGATTTTAGCTACAGTGATGTCTGTTTCAGTGTTCAATGTGCATTCTGGAGTGCAGGAAGAACTCACTGTACTTCTGTCCCTGCTGACTCTTGAAGCAGTACAGACAACTAGCTGAATCATCTTCCAAAAAGGAGAAGATCTGATAGATGTTCTCCCCAAGTCTGCAGCTGAATAAGCAGAGAGAAGGAAACCACTATTATAGTTTCTCAGAGTCAGAAGATAGGATGAGATGCCGATAGGTTTCATGAAGATTATCCATTCCACTAACCTTCTTTATAGTTAGGGAGATTTGGAAAATTGTATTTTTTTGTTAGAATTTTCCCATGGTGCCACATGAACTAATGAATTCATTTTTTTCAACCCTCTACCTTACTGCTCTGATGAGTATAAAGGGGTGGTTGTAATAGTATCATAGAATCATAGAACAGTTAGGGTTGGAAAAGACCTTAAGATCATCAAGTTCCAACCCCCCCACTGTGGGAAGGGACACCACACATTAAACCATGTCACCCAAGGCTCTGTCCAACTTGGCCTTGAACACTGCCAGGGATGGAGCATTTACAGCCTGTGCCAGTGCCTCACTACCCTCACAGTAAAGAACTTCTTCCTTGTATCTAAGCTGAACTTCCCGTATTTTAAGTTTGAACCCGTTACCTTTCGTCCTACCACTACAGTCCCTAATGAACACTCCCTCTTCAGCATCCTTGAAGGCCCCTTCAGGTACTGGAAGGCTGCTATATTGTCTCTACAAATTACGTTTCCTTTTACTTAATACCATAGGATCATGAGCAGATAAAATGCTGACACATTTGGACTCCTTTGCTATATTACTTCTGGGATATGTCCAAATGAGAAGGCTACAGGCCATAAACCTGTATGTTCGTGTACATGCTGTAGCCCAAGGGATTATAGAAACCACTTCATTTATGAATAGATAAGTGAGCATTCAGGGTATCCTTAGAGAGGAGCTGTATCACTGTGTTTAGAAAGACTTTCCTCAGCCCTTTTTTTCTTTTACCATGCATGCTCTGTGACCCCTCTATTCAGTACCATTCACTCATGCAGCACCTACTCCAATCTCAGTGCATCAGTATCTTCTACCAAGCACACCTATATGATATATGTGGTAGCACGTCATGGTGGGAGAGATGAGAAAGGAACAGAGTATTTAAAAAACTTCAAAGGAGGATGCAGCATGCTCACACCCAGACCAATTTAGGTCATTTCAAGGTCCATGTCATCCTGTCAGGTGCCAGTCATAATCTGAGGTCAACTGCTCTGACATAACAAGAATGTAATTGAATCCTTGCTGTTATGACTTGGTTCACCATCTGACATTTCTGGAAGTATGTATTGTGTGATGACCAATAAGAATTAATTTCCAGATGGTTGTGACTCAATGCTAAGTGAGGCAGCATGGCTGGTGAGATGGTGGAAGACAGCTGCTGGCAGGAGGCAGTGTTGCCTATTGACTCTTATAGAGAAGTGCCCGGAGGACTGGTCTTTCTGGGCAAAGGGATCCCACTGCTTGCTCCCTGTTATCAACTTTAGGGTTTCTTTGGTCAAGGCCATGGCTAGGGAAGGTCCCTGCTGCACAAGTTTAGTGCCTCATCTGCTGCTTTGTGGATACTCTTAATTCCTCTGCCACCCAGCCCAGAGTTTATCAGTGGCTTTTTGTTTGGCTGTTTTTTTTTTTTTTTTTTTTGATTTATTTTTCCCTGCTCTCATGCTCACACAGAGGCTGCAGAAATTGCCCTCTGCTGTCGGTCTCCTGAAACACTTCAGCTGAAGTAGGAAAGCTTCCTGACCCTGAGGAGTTATTTTTGTCCTTAGTCTCATTCACAGCCTTTTTCTCCTTCCATGAGCTCCACTTCCATGTTTGCGTATACCTGACTGAGATATCTATGCATGAATAAACTCAGGAATATTTGTCAAATACTTGTCAAAATACAACTCAGGTTTACTGTGTCAAAGCTAGGGCCTTACAGAAATCTCCAGAAAGAGGCTTTTGTTATAGTTTTAGTCTGACTTGCAGGCTAATGACTTCCCACATGTGCAGCTCAATAGCAAGTGAGCTGTGTGTTAAGAGCAATGTCTCGTGCTTGCAGCAGACCTTGGTGTGAAGCTTCAGTGACAGTGACTGTATTACAGTGCCTTGTGAAATGTGTAATGGTGAATTTGAGCCCTTTCTGGAGAAGGAGACTACTCTTTCAGAACATATGTAGGGGTTTCTGGAAGCACTCTGAGGACTCGGTAAAGATAATAGAAGATGATGAAGAACAGCTCTACAATGTTCCCAAATAGCTTTCCTAAAGTAGGAGTTTATTTAGTCTTGAAGCCATCATAAGGCACATCATTATGTTAACCACTACAACTCTCCTGTCTAACATAGTTTCTTAATTTAGGTAATGTCCTTGGATTAGGAACGAAAAGCTCTGAAAGAAGCTATTGCAAGAGAGTCTTCGAAGTATACTTCTGGCAGTGCTTTTGCTGTTGACAGACATGTAGAATAGAAACAAAGGGCTTTTGTTTGTGTTTCATACAAATCCCAAGGTTACAAATTTATTAGATTAGTAGGTCTTCGGAGAGATAGAAAGAAGGATGAAAAAAGGACATAGAAATAACTCCTAAACAAAAAAAAAAAAAAAAAAAACAAGCTTTTTAACCCTACGCCAACTTGATATTTTTTCATTCACTCTTAACAAGAGTTGCTAAATACTTGAGTCCACAGATCTGCCTGAGAGAATTTTTCTTATGTGAGAAATAGCTATGTTAATAGTTGATAGCATTTGTTATTTATAACATAAAAAACCCTCTCATAAAGAATCTTCTCAGACATGGAAGTGTCTATGATCAGATAACCAGGCATGTGAATGACCTCGAGATTAATGTTTGGGTTCCTGAGCTCAGTCCTCCTGCTATCTGAGCTTCATAGGTCCTTGACTCAACCTTGTCTTGAAAAGGCAGGATATCACTGGTAAGTATGTTAAGGTTCATTTTGGACTGCCTGCTGGAGAAATTTGGTGGTGTATTGGGGTCATTCCTCTTCTATCACTGATAACCAGTGGTAGAAGGTTGTTGACATTTAAAGCGTTGCCAGTGCGGAGCTAAGTAGGTGCTTACTGAGGAAGATGCGGGAAATTGTTCCTCAGAACATTTTTACTTAGGGTTCTGAAAGTGCAAGCAGATGCCCCTACATCTGTTAAAGCCTCTTCCCGTGTCTGAGTGCATCTCTCTGACCATGTTAGCTAGAGATTTCATTCTGAGCGAAACAGCAACAAACACAGATATTTCCCTTAACTTCCTAAGCCTTGAGGATCTGGAGAACAAAAAAATGACATTTAAAAGATGCCAATATATCTTACAGCTTACTTGCTAAATCTAAACTGTGCATATGTTAACTATTAATATTTACTCATGTGATGCAAGAGAAACTTATTTTAATACACGTTGTTTAAATGGCTAAAAATGTGTATGCTAACAAGAATGTGGCTGAGAGACCTTGGAATCTGAGGAAATAGCTTTTCTCTTACGTGAGAAACACAAGGGACAAAATGCATTACATAATTTATATAGACAGTTTCACAAAGAGAATAGCAAAGAAAACAACCAGTAAATGACTAAGTAGAAAGCAGCATTTCTTCATAATACTGCCTGCAATTATGGAATAGTTATAGGTCATTCATAACAAGAAATGTTATATGTGCTTTGTTATTCTGTAGACATAATCCAACCATTTTAAAATATATATTTGTTTAGCATGTTGAATTACTTTTCCTGGCTTTGAAATATTTCTGTGTATCTCTTAGTAGCATCATTACATGCCTAGAACATACAGAATTAGGGCCTAAGAGTTGTGAATAATAATTAAAATACTATTTAGGTTCTACTGCTGATGTTGATTTATCAAGGCAATGGTTTTAAATGGCAGTACAAGTTCTGTTTGCTTTTGTTGTTGTTGTTTTTTTTTTTTTTTTTAATCTTCCATAGCATTGATAACTACAGTAGATTGCAGTGGAATAAATTCTGTGTTGCAGCCAACATAACAAAACCAGCACAGTATTTACAGACAGTTGTTTAAGTGCTGAATATCAGAGGATCTATTATTAAAGAAGTCCCCAAGAAGCTGTTAGGAGACAGGAACATAGACACGTAATAAAGGAGAGCCTGGGGAAGGGGACACTTACTTCATAGTTACACACTGAGCAATACTTTAATTCCTTTAAAGCAAGGTATGCACACCAAGAAAACAAGACATTGAATTTCAAAAGGGAGGTTGGACTACAGAGACAAGAATAGGCTTCTCTTTATACTTGTTCTTTCAGGTTCAGGAAATCCTGAGTCCCTTTTTGCAGAGCTGCAACAAAAGACTTGAACAATATTACTTTTCTCTCCTCCAGACTCTTCCCTGTGTCTGTAATTTAGGTGGCTTCTAGCGACTGGGAGGAAGTAGGAGAGTGTCTGAGGAAAGGAAGGAAGCCTTTGTTTCCTACAGGTGCAGTTTCAAAGATAGATCACTCCCACCAAAGGCTGCAGCCATCACCTCCTCACAGCCTCAGGACATGCTGATTACCTGAAGCTGCCATTGGACTCCTCCACAAACTGATTCAAATTGCTTAGCAGAAAAGTAAGCCTGCCAAGGCAGCAGATAATTTCATGTCAGATTTGTGAATTGAATTAGCTCATAGGAGAATCTTTGTGGAGAACTGACACAAAAATATGCTGTGCCTGGGAATGGGGAGAGGAGCATTGTCAGGTAGCATGAGGAAAACAGAGTAATGGAAGAGATCAGGGGACAGAGTAGGAGGATAAGGAAGGGGAAAGGAGAATCAAAGAGGAGTCATGAGACGCAGTGACAAGCAGCTGTTAGTGTGCTAATCACTAGGCAGGTCACCACAGATGAGAAGACCATCAGGATCATCTGAAATATGACTTTACTGCCTTTGCTATTCAGTGTCTCCAATATCCCAAGTGCTCCTTCACCTTTACTAATTTCAGGACTGGTCACACATCTATATTTGTCTTAGACGGGAGAAGTTTTATGTCTCAGGATTTGAGCCAGGCACTCTCTCCGGTGATTTTTGGTGGCATTAGAACCTTCTCTGTCCATGTGCACTAAATTATAGCTAACCAGTGAGAATATTAATACCCTGTGGCACAGATCACCACCAACCATGACTGACTGCTTCATAATCTGTTTTTAATTTCACCACTTCTAGGACGAAAGAAATTGTGAAGCTTAACTCTGTCAGGGAGCATTGTAGAGAATTAACACTCAGGGACAAAATCTGCTTCCATTTCCATTGCCATTAGAAATTTTCTCCCCCATAAGTGTTCTACCTGTTATTCTATCATACAGGTGAAGAAAGGCATCTCCAGATATGACTTAGAGAAAAGCTTCAGGAAAAATTGCAGTCAGCACCAGCTTTAAGAGAAGGCTATGGCTGTGGGTTCCAACCAGAGGCTTTTTCTTGGATATCCTTGTGAGCATAAGGTCATATTCAGGCAAAGCTCTCTCATTGGTGTTTCTTACTAGCTGGCTGTAGGTGGCTTCCCATCAAGCTGGTTTCCTGCAGACAGCCCCTGTTCACCATACAATGTGATACTAATCCCAGTCCCAGCTACCTTATTCCCATGTCAGTGAAGGAAGTATTACTGAAGGTTCTGCTTTTCAGAACCTTTTCTGAGCTTCTGAGCTGTGTCATAAGCTCACCAAGACTATATGGCAAGCCTTTTGTGCTTGCTGAAAGATCAGTGTCTGCAGGCTGCATCTATAGTAGCAAACCAGTCAGTTCCAGGGTGCGTACTAAATGCTGCACCTCAAGTGTGTGCTGTACAGCTGCCAGTGGTTGCTGGTTTTGACCCAGACTGGTCATCAGTCTTCTAAACACAGGCCTTGGGTGTAGGTCAGAAGTTAGTATGATTATGGGCCACTTCCAATAGGCAGTTTGGATAAAGTAATTTAGTTTTGAAGGGTAAGGTAATTTTATGTTATGAACATGGGTTGTACTGTTCCAGTTGACTTCAATGCCACAGGCCTGTCCTGGGCTTGATTAACTTACTAGCAGAAACATGGAGGAAAAAGCTGATTGTATTTTGAGCTTCCTGTGTTAATATAGAGTATTTAGTATTAGTACTTATTTGGACAAGTCTAAGTAAAGTTCCTTGTTAAGTGTCTCTTTTTGCAGGTTTTGCTTCAGAAGAGTCACAGCAAGAGTTTATTATGTTGCTTCCCCATGCATTGTAAGGGACATTTTTCTATTGACTTGACAACACAATTAAGAAAAAAGTTTCATGCCAGCGGGGCACAAGTAGTGTATTTATATATATATATATATTTTAAGCCATTCAAAACAGAAGATGCTAAAGCTCTCCTTTCTATTTCATTAGGAGGAAGAAACTTATTTCATTGTTTTTATTCTCTTCATTGTCTTTAGTGTCAATTCTGACTTTAAAGTCAATGTCTTCCTAAGACTTTGCTAATGACTTTTTCCCTAGGCCATGCAACCACTTCTTTAGACCGTACTTCTTTTTAATTGACTTGCTAAGCTTTCTTCCAAAAGCTTCTTTTCTTTTCTTCTTCCTTTTCTTTTGGAATTCAGAGAAGGCAATTTGGACTGATTTCAGTCTCTTATAGATTTTGGAAAGATTCCAGAGGCAAAGATAGGACTAAAACAAACTGGCAAAATCGATTATTTTAAAGTTTTGGCTTTTAGTTTAGACAATTTTGACAATAATGCTGAAAAGATGTTGGAAAGTGTCACAGTCCGGTCAGCACTATAGCACACTTGACACACAGCACTATAGTGTGTGGTGAATAAAATAATACACCAAGTGACACTGATAAAGGAGTTCTGAGGAAAATTATACCCTCAAGATGTTTTCAAATTATTACAACCCGATTTCTGCTCCCACTTACATCGAACTAAGTCTGCAGCAATTTCACTGACTTAGTGTCAAGACTGGATTCTTTATTCCCATACAAAATTTTTTTTTCCATGTAAGTTGAGCCTCATTATAGTTATTTCAGTAAGAAATAGAGATAACTCAAGCTTTTACTGAAGGAAGGGACACCAGAAGTCTGAGTGATCGCTGTGACTGCATTTTGCCTAAGCAGTGGGTGCATGGCACAGACTGCAGGCACATCTGCCCTCCCGTCAGTCAGCAGCATGATCCCAGGTATTGGAGGTCTGGGTGTCCAGGCTACTTCTCCATGAGAGCTATAGGGAGGGGAGAAAGTGTACTGAAACATTTCAACATCCCCTGATAAGGATGTATTTACTAGTAAATTTATCTATTAGTGCTTTAAAAAATATAAAAATAATTCATCAGCTCAGACTAAGTACATACATATTGCATGAAAAGAAAAGGATTCAAGTATGACCCTTAATCCTGAGGGTTTGGATGTAGTCCTGAGCTTACCACTTTTTCTGCAACCTATATCATCACAGTTCTCTGCCAGTATATTACCTTTCAGCTTCCTGAGCTGATGCCATGCAGCTGTGAATCAGGTGCAATGTTCTCCCATCATGCAGCTATTCACCAGGACAACAGGTATGTACAGGCAGTCTCACATCAGTCCTTGTGGGAGGGAGGCTGAGTTAGTACCCTTCAAAGACAATGATGTTCAAAGGCTGTCCTATTCAGTAGTACTGGGGATAAATTGAAAACCATAAAATTACATTTTAACAGATTTTCTATAAAGAACAGTGGGGCAGAGGTTCAGTTATGTGCATGCTTCCCAAGAGACATGTAATTTTTTTTTACCTGTGTCTCTGTTGTGCATTTCTTCAAGTACCACCTCCCAGTCAAACAAAGAAAACCCTAGGCCTCTTCGGAATTTTCTGTTCCTTAGTGCATGAATACACTGGAATACATAGCTGGACATTTGTAAAGCCAGGAAAACAGGAATAATGTGGCTTACCATAATCCCAGGTGAAATGTTGTTGGCTGTCATGAGAACTGAGTTTTCTCAGGCAAACCATGAACCAGCACAGTAAATTGCTGAATATTCATATCCAGCCAGTTTCATAGCAGAAATATGTCATTACTTTGTAATAAAGCTAATTTGATCATACTTGAATCCTTTTCTTTCCATGCAAGGCGTACATAAAATGCTCGGTCTGAGCTGATGAGTTATCTTTTGCAGCAGTAATAAATGCAGCAGCTCTTTTATGTTCTGTGTTTGCCCCCTACAAGGTTCCCTATCATTACACACTTTTATTCTCAAAAGATGATACAAATATTTGATTCACACTGTCTGAAGCAGCAATCCTAAGCCTAGCATTTTTTGCCAATATAGGTTAACCATGCACTTACATTACTAAGTGTATTGTGTTTACATGGCAGGTTTTGGTAGCAAGGCAGCTACAGGGGTGACTTCTGTGACCTGCTAGAAGCTTCTTCCTTGTCTGTTAGAGCCAAATCCAGCCAGCTCCAGGACAGACTCACTGCTGGTGAAGGTCAAACCCATCAGCAACAGCAGTAGCACCTCTGGGATAACATAGTTAAGAAGGGGAAAATCCCCAGTGCAACAGCAACTGCAGCCAGAGAAGAGTAAGCATATGTGAGAGAAGCAGCTCTGCAGACCCCAAGGTCAGTGCAGAAAGAGGGCAGGAGGTGCTCCAGGCACCAGAGCAGATATTTCCCTGCACCCCATGGTGCAGGCCATGTTGATGCAGCTGTGCCCTGCAGCCCATGGAGGAAGGTCCATGATGAAGCAGGTCTCTACCTGCAGCCCATGGAGGGCTCCACACCAAAGCAGGGGGATGCCTGAAGGAGGCTGTGACACTGTGGGAAGCCAGCACTGGAATGGGTTCCTGGCAGGACCTGTGGCCCCATGGGGGACCCATGCTAGAACAGGGGAAGTGTGAGGAGTCCTCTCCTGGGAGGAAGGAGCAGCAGAGAGAACCTGTGATGAACTGACTGAAACCCCCATTCTGTCTGTCCTCCTGTGCCACTGCAGGGGAGGAGGTAGAGAAATTCGGAGTTAAGTTGAGCCTGAGAAGAAGGGGCAGGTGGGGGAAGGTGTTTTTGAGTTCTTATTTCTCATCATCCTACTCTGATTTGATTGGTAATAATTAAATTTATTTCCCCAGATCAAGTCTGTTTTACCTGTGACAGTAATTGGTGAGTGAGCTTTCCCTGTACTTTTCTCAACCTGTGAGCTTTTTGTTACATTTTTTCTCCCCTGTCCAGTTGATGAGGGGAGTGACAGAGCAGCCAGGGCCAGGGTCAACCCACCATACTGAGTAACAAAAAACTCCAACAGCATGAAGTGCAGACAGCAGAAAATGCTAAAGGCAATGCTTCCTCCCCTGCTTTTGAGGAGGGAAGTGGGTGCTATTTTCTTGCCTTTGTCTCCTCTTTGTTCACAAGCTCCTAGCTTGTTGCCTGTTGTCTTTCACAAGGCACAAGCTTGGCAGAGTCCAAATGCCACACACCACTATTCTTGCCAGCAGGAGAACTCCTGGGTCCCTGAATGGATGTCTAGAAAAATTGCTGTTTATGATGCTTCGTTTTAGCTGGCTCTGCTGTGGAGGCCTGCTTCAATTGTTTGAACAGTTTCCAATGAAGAGGGCATAAGAAATAAATGTTCAGTGTCTCCCTTGGGAATGTGAGGAATGCATCTGCCTGTTAAATGTCTCAGAGTTTAATACAAAGAGTGAAGTGATCCACCCAACAGTATGCACCTTATCTTCAGAATTTAAAATACATAGTCCCTTAGGTTGTTCAGGTTAAGCATTTACTTTTGCTTGTTGTCCGCTCTTGACTCTCCAAGTATTTTTCACCATCAAAATGAACTCCTGTAGTGGATGTAATATATCTCCTTCTCTCTTCCTGGTAAGTGGTTTGTACTGCTTATGAATAGATTAGCCTTCCAGCACCATAGGGATTATGGCTGAGATGGCTGATTTGAACTACAGAGGGCTAAGGGAGCCTGCTGGATTATTTCAGGTGACTTCAGCCTTCACATGGCCATTTGGTTAGATCGAGCAGCACCAGTACTTTCCTACTAGGTTTATGGCTTGGAATTCTAACACAGCAATGAGACAAATCCTTGGCTCATCCTTAATTGGCGCAGCCCCCTTGATTTTAGTAGAATAATGATAAAGTGACAAACTGTCCAATGCTTACCCTACCTTGAAGCTGCCTGTGTAACTCCAAATTGCATTTTCTGAGTCTATCAATATTCCAATCTAATGGATTTGAAAGAACTAAGCACAATTCTAGTGCTAAGCACAAAACTGATTTTTCAAGATTTTTTTTTTAATTAATCACTATTTGGATGTAAATTGTTACAGCTGCCTCTCTGCAAGTTCTTGCTGGAACAGGCAAAATTAATAAGCTTGCCAGGCATTTAGACCTAGAATAAAATACCATTCTGTATCCAAAATAAAACACTGTTACCTGTGGCAACCTCATTGGATGTTTTAGCAGACAGACCGGGTGCTGTAGGAGGGGGAGCAAACCATTCTCTCAGCATGGGATAGGATTCTTCTTTGTCAGGACAATGTAGGAAGGATGCTCAAGCTATACTTGCTTTGTGTAAAATTGTGGAGCCAGAGCTTCTAACATGGGTTATTCTATAGTAAATTGCTTTTAGAGCAGGCTAGAAATAATCAGAACAAAGCAGGTGCTTTCACACTCCCTAGGAACCTAATTCACTAAAATGGTCTGTAAGAAATAGCAGGGGTAGCTCTGTTCCTTTTCACCTACGTCTGAATAGCTGGCTTCGGCCTTCAGGTGGGTTCAGGAAATTTAGGCTGTTGAGGGCAATAGCCAGTTTCCATTCAAGCTGCTGGAAAAAAACAACTTTAAATCCCTTTTGTTTAGAAGCAGTGAAAACCTCAGAGGCTTTTCACTGTCAGAGCAGTTCTGTGGGGGCTAAAGGGCTGGGAAATACGCTAAGAAGTGGTAAGAGTGAGGCATTGTCCAGTGGAATTCTTTTTGTGCCCAAAAGGCTTCTGGCCTGAATTCAGAAGAAGAAAATGCAGGATGTCCTGAGTGCAGCCCTCTGGATTCACCTGGGTGCTAGCAGAGGGGATAAAGCATACTGAATGGAGATATGTGTGTTCGTGCCATGTACAGTAGTGCACACACACAATAGCCAGGCCATGAGCTGAAACATTCAAAGGGAAGGGACAGCAGCACTAAGCTAGGGGTCTGCAGGTTCATCAGGACCCTCTGAACTGACCAATAGCCAACACTAGAGGAGGAGACTTTAGATGTCAGGTGTGGAGCATTGCATGAAGCTGAGAAGCTAGGCACAGCAGCTACAGCAGGGATCATGGGGGCGAAAGAAGAAACACCACAGCAATGAGCCCTGAGAAGTCAATATGTTACCACAGCCATTGCTTGTCTGCCCAGCCCGGTCTGGGATGGGCTTGTACTTTGCTGGCAGCAGAGACTGCAGTGTGGAGTTGTGCTGGTTCTCAGGAGATGAGTAGCCACAGGAGAACTGCAATTGCTGTAGCTGCTCCTCCCTCAACACCCCTCTTCACCCACCATAGATCCAATAACCCTGAGTAGCCTCAAGCCTTCAAGCATCTGCTTGTGCTACACGCTCCCAGACAGAGATTCTTGGCCATTACCACTACTACTGTCTTTCCATTCTTTTCCAGCTCTGGTCTCACATGTGAGCCAGAATCTACGCATGCTTTCTGCAGCAATCATCCCTTTTCTTTTTTTTTTTTTAAGTTTCTTTCTTTGGTCTTTGCCACTGGAAAGAATGGCAGATTTCTCTTCAAAAGCATTATTGTTGCACTCTATGTACAATTGTCTATATTTATTGCCTGTATTTCATCTTTTCTCTGCTGTGTCTCAGAAGCACATGCCTGAGAGGTCATAATTTACTTGAGACATGTTAAAGTATTTTATTGTGTTTTATTTTAAAATTATAATGAAGAAATGGCGCCTCATTCCAGATGTGCTGGAAGTTTAGCCATGGATTATTTAGTGAAATATTTGATATGGAAAATTATTTACCTCTGAAGATTACAGAATGGATGTGAGATCGTATTCTGGCTTTATAGTAGGATGGCATCAGTCAATGGGAAAAAATAATTTCATTGACAAGTAATTACTTAGCAGGTCTTAGAGTAAAAAGCAAAAAGTTACAAGGTGAGTGAGAAAAGATAACAGGGCATTTGTTCCCCTGAAGAAGCTTATTCACATGAAAACATTTCAGGCAAAATAATAGGACTGACACATAGGTAGGATGCTCACCTGTCGTGAGCGTAGGCACTTTTGTCTGAGACAACTGACTTTCAAGTACTGAACCACATACTGACCAGACCCGAAGTCTTTTTTAAGTATTCTATACTTGCTGCAACCACCAGTTGTTCAGGAATTGTACAAAAGAAGGACATTTATTCAATGTGTTTGCTCATGTTACATATTCTCATACCTGCAGACATTGCTCAATCTGCAGACTTGATTTTGAATAAATTATATAGCAGTGATCAGTCATGTTCAATCAAGAATAAATCAGTGGTTACATATTTCACTTAATTGTTGTAGCTCATCTTGGGTTGTAGATAATCCAAAGGATGAGACATAGTCACATTTCCAACTCAACGGAAGCAAAGACCACATCACTGCATTTAATATCCATAAGGGAGCAAAATCCTCTCACTTTTGTGGAGATTTCATTCATAATGTAAAAAAAGACTAATGGCAGCTCTCATCACATGACAGTGCTATAACTAGAGAGCAGTCTCCGAAATTAGGAAAAGATCATTTTAAGACAAGTAAAAAGTACTTCTTACATAGTAGACAGAAAAAAATATAAAAGGAAGGTTGACAATGGAGTAAGGAAAGGGAAACAGCAGAAATTCCAATTAGAAAAATGTTTTTCAGAATGAGCATGGTTAAATCCAGGAATGAGATGCCCAGAGAAGCTGCAGAATCTCCATCCTTGGAGATTTCCAAAGCTCGAGTGGAAAAGGGCCTGAGCAACCTGATCTGACACTGAAGTTAACCTTACAAAGAGCAAGGTGTTGGACTAGGTGACCTCCAGAGATCCTGAACAATCTGCAATATTCTATGATTCTGCATACTTCTGGAATTTGTTGCTGAAGCGGGTGGAGCAAATATCAGCAAACTCAAAAGGGAATTAGACAAATCCATTGACAATGTGTTCATAAACAGATAATAAGGATAGTAAAGAAACAGACAGGGATGTGCCCTCTAACATCCCAGATGATTAAGGATGCCGGGGGTGAAGAAAAGGAGCGGCAGATAATACTATTCTCATGATGTCTATGTAGCACCCTCAGGCAGGGGGAAAATACTTGGCAAATAAAGAGTTGTTCTGATCCACAGAACATATATTTTTATCGTTAGTTCTTCTTACCTAATGTATTTCTTGGCTGCAGCACTGCTGCTGTGTCTCTGATACACTTCTACTCGTATGACCTGTCGCAAGTCCTTTGATGCCTGTGTTTCCCAAGTCTTTTCTGGTTCCCCCAAAACTTCTAATGAAAACTAGACCCAAGTGTCTTAAAAAGCCTGTCAAGTCTGACTATACTGAGTATATAATGAAATTCATCACAGAAAAAAGGAGAGCTGATGGATTCACCTGTGCTGTCTTT